AATGTCGTTTAAATAAATATGTTATAAGAATGCTAAAATCGTGGAGCAGCCATCACTATCGATAATAACGATGTTTAAACAAACCGTGAGTTTAGTTTGCTCCAAATGATGTCTTGGAAACTCAGGACAGTGACATTTTAAATACGATGAAGGCCAGAACTGACAATGAGAAAGGATCTACTTCCTACAAGCTTTGTTGAGTAAAGTAGGTTTTCATTAAATAATAATCAAATTACTTTAAGTAAGATTCAATATTCAATAGTTATCGAATACAGTCAAATTAAAGGATCCTTAGTTCTGATAGTTCTCTCAAATCAAGGGCGTAGAAAGGTCAAATATAACTAGCAATAACTCTTCTCCCCACTCTTTTTGATTGCCAAGTTTCATCGTTAACAAACGAAAACATTCATACTTGTCAAACTTTTAGTTTTAGGCATCAGATTTCTGTTTCTGTTTCCAGATCAATTGTTTTTTCCAATAGGCAAGGTCATGATCCGTCTTCTGTTCTTGACACACGCCGTTGACTTTTTTTTACATAAGAAAGCATTTATTCCAATCAATAATTAGTTTATATATATAATATTTCGAAAACTTGAGCACTTTGTTAGCTAGATGAACTGGATTTGTTGGGCATTTTCTCGATAGATGCGAATTGTTTGTGGACATCCAAAAAAACAGATGCTTCGACTTGTAACCTACCTTCGGGGTTTTACCTGTTTTAAATTATAGGAAGCATCAATCATTATTTAAATTCATAACAAATTGTGCCTTATAAAGCTAACTGGGACATAGTTATAACTGCATCGCTTTAAAATTATTTTCAGGCGCTTTTTTTCTTCTACCGAAACTAGGATACGTTTATTCTTTTTGCATGTATTTTAAAACGTTTAAAATAAAAGCGTTTATTGTAACTAAATGAGAAATAAAATTTTGATATAATAATTTTAAGAAAAAGTAAAATCTTATCTATATGAAAAATAATTGATACGAACAGATATTGAAAGAATGTTCTTCTACTTTTTATTGTTTAGTTCATTTATATATATTTTTTTAAAGTGACCTAAAAATGTTCTAAAATATATACGTTAATTCTCTAAGAATCCCTCCACCATATGCGACAAGATATTTGCAATTGTTCCATGTGCCTTGTACTGTGTACAAACACGAATTATTTGCATAATTCGCCAATGTTTCGGGTTTTATATAGCTATTTAACACTAATTATGAGGATGTTGATATTTTCCACCTCACCAAAGGGGATCTGTGGAAATATTTGAAGAGGCGGAAGGACCTTGACTTTTGTTTGAGTATTAACTGTCGTTTGTTTAAGTTTCAATTTCTTCTTTTCTCTAAAAAGGAAGCGAATATTTGTCGTACTTGTTTTAAAAGGCTTACTTGGAGTAAAATACTTTAGTGTTAGTCTCAGTCGCGCCGACAGCCGCACGCGCAGGCGCTGTCACAACGCCCTTTTCTAGACCGCGATAATTATTGATATTGTCACCTAATCGCTTTGTTTATATTAAAATCATTATATAGTGTGCCGTCGTCGAAGTAAGCGGCTTAGAAATAGTGGAAAGTGCATAATATAAGGTAATATTAGTTTTAATACTAGTGTTACTTGATAATAATACTATTATTCTTATTGACGAGGCGAATATTAATTATTGTAACCTTATATTTATAAATTTATAAAATATATCCTTTCTAAAATAAATCCTTTAATATATAAAACGAGATAAAATACCACTAAAACGATAAGTGCCGTTAAAACGCGAACAATTATTGCTTTTTGAACACTCGTTGCGTAAATAGTAAAAGTTACGCAGAATTCGTGTAAATTATGAGTAAGGGTATTTTTACATTAGCCTTTTATGGTAATGGAGATTGTTCAAATAAATACATTATTAGAGGAGGTGTCTTTATAAATTACATATTTATTACATTTATATTTTAGCTGCTTTAATGGCCCTATTGTACGTAAATTCTCGGGTAATAGTTACAATAGGTAAATTAGATAAGACTGCCAATAGGTTTTATTGACTTTCCGTGGTTTAACAATACTCATTCAAAGTTTCATGTAAACGATAACAGTTAATGTTTTATTATTTCGTATCAACTCAATGTTTATTTTAAAGAAAACATCACACACATACTTAAATTAACCATTTACTTCAAAATGTTTCTCCCGAATTTAATTTTCTTTAACAAAAATTCACATCACCAAAACCTTTACTTTGTTTTGAAGAGAGTGAGATTAATCTAATTTAACCTAAATATAATATTAATGTAATTACTGTAATTATGACTATTATGTGTGCCCGGCAAAACTTAATGGCCCTTATTGGCGGATATTCATTGTCCATAATTAATACTGCGACAATTAAATATCATTATTTTCAATAACACCGTTTCGCAACGCTTTAAACAAGTGTTTTTACAATAGTTGAATGATGTTAAACCTTAAGAAAACCGGAAGACCGATTCAATACACTCAATCCCTTGAAAAGCCTTTTTTAGGCTTGGACGATCGCTCTGATCCGTTCATCTTTCGCCCATAAGTAAAACCTCCTCTTTTTTCAAAATAAAAACTCCTGAGGTATCTAGAGGGCCACCAGCAGATTATCGTTTATCAGTACGGTTTTCGTCGTGGTCGCTCAGCTGGTGACCTTCTTGTATATCTTGCACATAGATGGGCAGAGGCAATTGCTTTCAAGGGGAAGGTAAGTTTAGACATAGCTAAAGCCTTCGATCGGGTGTGGCATAAAGCGCTTCTCTCGAAGCTCCGAGTTCATCCAGCTAAGCAAGAAGACACAAGTTTTACGCTAAAACACCCTTTGTCTGTCGCTACGCCTCTCTTCAAAGACACTCTCCTTAATGTCTCAGCTAGCATCGGAATACTGGGCGTTGACATATCGAATGAAATTAGGCTAAATTAGCCTTAAAGAAGCTTGGGGTGCTCGGCAAGGTGGAACGGTACATCACAACGTGCCAACTCAATTCTATAAAGCGCAAATTTGGACCCACATGGTGTACTGTTCTCACCTCTGGACGGGAGCTCCCCAGTACCAGCTCCACTTGACCTTGTAGTAATTCGTCGTATTCCCGTTAGGAGGTGATAGGTGTGACTTTTTGTAATTGTTTTAACCCCTATATGCATAATGACGCAGTTTTTACTTATCATATTGTTTTGTTTCAAAATAAGTAAAAAAAAAAAACATAAAATTTGATGAAATAAATATCAATTTCAATAAAAATCGATAAAACATTGGTTATTTATCAATATTCAAATCCAAGTTTAAAAATTCGAGTGGAAAAACTATTTTTGAAAAATGCCTTTCCCGCTGTTCGGTTATTCTTGCAAATAAGTTAAATGCCTATGTAGGCCAATGCAGGAAGCAAACTGGCAGGTTAAGTAAGAAAAAAACAAAGTTGTCAAAGAGTTCGTTTTGTTTTATTATTATAATATTAGTTTATAATAGTCTACTAGTAGACTCGGCCAAGCGTTGCTCTGGCTAAGATTTTTGTTATATTACATATTAGTAGTAAACTATTCAAGGGAAACGGTAGGAGAACTTATGTGAAAGGTAGATGACAGCTTATGTGAAACGTTGATAATTTTAACACAGCGCCATCTGTTAGAATTGTATCAAATAATAAACAAATATTTTGCAATAAATTAAAATTGCGACTATAATTTGAGATTTAAACTATCCTATCTCTCAAGTTGGATCGAACTGCACATGGTGTGCAAATTTGATTGATATCGGTTCGGTAGTTTAGGAGTCCATTGAGGACAAACATTGTGACACGAGATTTATATATATATTATTGATTATATATTATTTTGTTATAATAAATATCCTCACGATTGTATTTTGATATCTAATTTTAATTGAAATATGGAAGTGCTTGATCAAAATGAAAAGCGTACGTTCCTAAATTATACTAATGAAGAATTAAGCTTTTCGTCAAGATTATTGGCGTCTGTTTTCTTATGGTCTAAGATCCCGATATACAACGACCTTCACCGAGTTGCTTATCGAGATATTATATTACCCATATAATCCATATGGGTTGCCTAGCAAATTTCAGTTCAGAGTATTTTAATTAATATTAAAAAAAAAATATTTTTTTTATATAATTTTTTTTTTTTAAATAAATTTTAATTAATATTAAAATATTTTTTTTTAAATATTAATTAAACACTCTGGACTGAAATTTGCTAGGCAACCCATATGGATTAATTATATTTATTGACATTTTAAATTAAATATAAAATACGTTTCATTAAATAAGCATCTCGGTGAAGGTCGTTGTATATCGGGATCTTATACTATTACCGCCAATTACCCCATGTACTTACCCAATTTGTAAAATGCCTTCCATGTTCACCATACATACATGCAAAATTGAACGAAACGATCTTTTTTTCTGCAACATTTTAGGTTTGGTTTCGAATATCTTCAAATAAATTAAACTTCAACTTTACAATTTCAGTTATTATGACTTTAATTGTGACCCAGCGGGCTGTTGGATCACAATTATCGAGTTTTTCACAATTATAGAGAAAATGGAATGAAGAAAAAGAAATGAATCTCTTTTTGTTTAGTTTTCTTGAGTACTTAGCTCGATGTTTAGTTACTAACAGGGCTATAGTCAATTCATTGTAGTAAAAACATACTATAGGTATTTAAGATATAGCTATAAAAGCTATAGAACTCGAAAGTCTTGTGACAAAGGTTCGACAACTATGTGATTAGTTTCTGGTAATACGATCTAGTTATTTTTGCAAATATTATATTTTTTCAAACATCCTGCTTCTGAGAATCCGTTTACGATTGATTCCTGTGTCGCCTACTCACCCTGGCATTCTTTTATTAGCATCTTGATGTTATAAATTATAAAGTCTTATGAGAATTTATTAAGTTCTAACAAATCGTCCAATATTTTGAGTAGAATATAGGTTTAGAAATAATCAACCTTACGTTACATTTAGCAAAATGTATCGTGTGAAGGCGATTGAGGTGGCAGAGGAATACCAAAAGAACCCTGGATTGACACCTGATGACATTGGAAAGCTACGTGAATGGCTCACTACACAACCCCACCTCCCGTCGAAATATATAACCGGTACGTATTTACAATATCTATGTAACCCTAAATAATACTATCACCTATCTGTTATTATCCATTTCATTACATTATAACCAAATATTTCTGAGTAAATACTTATACTACCAATATTTTTTTAATATAGCAAAAACTAAAACATTCAGCATGCATTATTGTTGCTTAAAAATCCTTTTAAATTTTTAAATGACTCGGAGCATATTTAAAAGTCAAAATACTCATCGTATCTAATACATTATATTATTTTATTTATAATTAAATAATGCAGATTATCTTTCACTGGAAGTATTTTACTATCATCAAAGATGAGATCTGAAGGCATTCTTCGTCTCGTGCAATGTAATATTTATTAATGCTTTAAATGTATGTTGTTATGTCTTTTGTCTTCTGTCCGTCTGATTTTTTCTTAATCTTTATTTAAATAGAAATCATATTCTGTGTGCACCTTAAACTACCAGTTGTTAAATATGGAATAACTAACTAATAGCGTAGCTTAGTCTGAGAAGCGTCTCTCCGTAAAGAATAAGCAATATTTATTGTTTTACTGGCTGGCCCGCGGGCCGCGTGGATACCGTATTAGAGTTAATATAATTACAGCGAATAAGTACATTACAGAAATGTACTTGTGAAAAATGTGTCCGATCTTAAAAACAAGATAAGAGGCTCCTATTAAACACATATACTTACGGATTTAATATTTTGATATTTATCATGATCACGTACCTCAGATCATGTCGGGAAACCTTGGAATCGGGTCTTTACTTTACTCGTACGTGTTTTATCACTATGCCATAAAGGGTAAGTTCGTGTAACTTATGTTAAGTCGCTTCAAACTCTTTTATTTTTCAATTATGAAATGAAATATTGTTCACACACCTTCATCGATCTTAATCATAATTTATTAAGGTACAATAATTGTGTGATTCGACAGACTTGGATCTAATCCTAACGTACCACTGCTGCGAGAATAGTGCCGAGGTGAGCAAGCAGGTGTTGGACTTGCATTTCACGCTAAAGACCCTTTTCACCGCTTTCTTCAGCCAACGCGTCCTCGATCAACGCCTGCGCACTGCACTCACAACTGCGTATGTACCTATCAGACCGGCCAAGCTGTGTGGACTTGCGCTTTCTTAATCCCTTCAACGTTTGGTCACGGTTACAGGCTGATCCAGCCGTTGCCCACACCTTCCGTAAACGGCTACAGAGTCATATACTGCCGTTTGCTCGACACTGACTCTAAAAACTTCATCTTTTCTGACATCGTCAAGCTTTTCTTAATGGTATTCGAGCTGTGGCAGTACGAAGAAGGAACCTGGCCAGGGTTAGTACGATTTGAAAGACCGCGAATAAAATACACACATTACATGGTAACACTAGGAGAGTCTCTTTTGAAACAAAACTAACCGAATAATAATGAATATGTTGATTTGCTATAATATTTAAATTAAATTTCAGTTTCGTAATAATGGTCGATATGGACCAGGCGACGTTGGCCCATATCGCCCAACTGGACGTCATGAGCGTAAAGCAGGTGCTATACTTCTTGCAGGTTAGACTTATAATTGGCCTTCTTTCTTAGAATAATGGTTACTTTGAACTTTAAAAACCACTTTTATTAAGTAAGAGTCTTTTTAAAAGCACTATACGACCAAATGATTAACGCTGTATTTTTGTCAACTGAAGAGATTGTATGAGTAAAATAGTATCCTATATATGCAGGAGAGTATGCTTGTGAAACTAAAGGAGGTGCACTTCCTGAACGCAACATCTTTGATCGACAAACTGATGATGCTTATCAAGCCCTTCATGAAGAAGGAGCTGCTTGACATCCTTCGTATTCACCAGCGAGATTCTGACACGCTAGACCCTTTCGTGTATTCTCACTCTCTACCCAAAGAGGACGGGGGCGACTTTAAGAGTAGGAACATACTTAAAGGTATTATTAATAAAATACAGAATATTATTGTTAATAAAATAGTTTCTGATGTCGAGAAATAAACTTATTAAAATACATGTCAGACACAAAACATAAGTTATGACGGAGTTTTAAGAAATAATTATTAATGTACATTTTCCGATATATAACTATTTTCCTCAATTGCGAATAAAGCGCTTCTATTTGTCCTACCTGTCCCACATGAATGAAACTGCCGAGGACTCTCACAATCGTTAAACTCACCAAGTGAGCGTGAAACGAGGAGTTGTCTATTATTTATATTTTATTACTCATAGCACTTAGGTCATCGGATGTGTGGTTATTTCTCATGTTAAATCTTTAATTAACGCCGGAAAATTGTACAAAGTATTCCTGTTTGCTGCCTATAACGTGTTACATTGAAAACTTTTTATTTAATATGTACAGTACTATCTTTACAGTCTAACATTTCAATTTATAACGATAAAAGCGACATTAACTTACTTCTCTTGTTCATTTACTTTAACATCAACTATATTCTCCTCTTAGATGTGTATCTAGAAATTTCACCCCACAGTTCTTCTTTTTAAGGCTTACTTAGTCAATCAGTCTCTATAGCGATGACTTTATAATTTTTAAATAATACAATATTAAAATTATTTAGTATTCTTTTAATATTTCAGAAGAGCAGTTGAGACGAATCGAGGCAAACCTGGAGTTTTTCGAGAAAGAAAGTAAGAAGCGAGTGGACGAGTCAGTTCGGCCGGGCAAGAAGACCACCATCGAAGATGTGTTCGGAATACAAGGCAGCTTTAAGAAACTCGATATAGATTGACAGCGATCACAGATCACATGCCTACGTCAGTTGAAGGCCTAATCGCACCGTAGCCCAAAGAGGTTCACAGAAATGTTTTAGTTAATTTATGGGCGAACGGTTTAATTAAGTTATTACTCAAGACTGGGGAATTTTAAAGCACTTGAAAATGCAAAATGAAATATTAAAACATGCAAATAATTGTTTATTTATTAAATAAAATCTTATTGAGGAAATAAGGTAAACTACGCCAAAAGAATTCTCGGCGACTGTAACATTATGTATGACTCTACTTCCGTGTTTTATTCCAATTTCGTGCAACATTTAAGTGTAAACATTAAAACCAGCGAAAGCAGATAACCTTACCTTACATTGTCTATAAATTAATTAAGCTTCAGACCACTATTAAAAGACAATTTCATATATATATTAAATTATACCTTTTGCTATTTTAAATATAATATAACCCCACACACAATACGAGTATTATGTAGACGCGTGCACCATCAAGTGAACTGTCGCTCTGTTAAAGGTGCGAGTGTGTGAATTTCAATTTGCAATTAGACAACGTAATCGCACTCGATTCATGTGCTTTTTATGAAAATTGGCAAAATATTCTATCAAGTAATTACTATAATGGACTCTATAAACGCTTCGTCGCCCATACAAAAAGATTTAAATGCACCAATTATTTAGAATCATTCATCACACAAGGATAATGCTATTTTTGACTTTGCAACATTGACTTTGAGACTAGTTTTGTGTGAAACAATAAGCGGCTTAAACAGTGATGTTCGTCCTATATAAAGTGTTGGTGTACCGGTGTCCAGTTGTATTGTCGCAATGAAGGTTCTGGTGCTGTTGTTTGCGTTGTTGGCGGTCATAGTCGCAGCTGTGGTAAGTACATTAGTAAGTTGTTGTAAAGTGTTTATCAAGTATGCTTAGCGATAGATATTAGTGGATCATGTAAAATTGTAGGTTCTATAGGGCGTGAAAGGAAATGATCCGAGCAGGTATACTTTTAAAAAGCTATTGTGTGCAGGGCGGTATGAGTGTGGGCCGCAGCGCGGGCTTTCAAGGTCCTGAGGCGCCCGCCGGCTGCAACGGCCGGGGACCGCCGCCACCACCACCACCATCCAGTAAGTTGGTTTTATAAAATTCTTTGTAGAGCTTTAAGAGCCTAGTACCGCTAGTAAGCGGTTAGGTCTTCGACAGACAACCCCGACACACACAGTGTAACCCTTACTTGTACCGTGAAGGTGACCCAAAAACGCATATTGGGCACAGAAGGCTGATTCCTGCCGAATAGAGAATTTTTTAAAGGATCACTTGGCAGATGTTTGACCTTATTCTACACACACATAGTTGTAAGTACAGTCCGAATAGATCTCCTGCTGACGCCTAATTTTGTTGCCACAACGATTACCGGCCACCTCGACGACGATTTATGAGATGTTTCAATTTGCTTTCAGATTCAACGGGCTAAATGCCGATAACCAGGACATCTTCTGGCTCAACACAAGCTCTCGACAACGGATACTGAATAAACTGTACAACTCTGTCTCTGATGTTTTCTTTCAAGTTCCAATTCGATTTTTGTAGGTTGCCGATAGTGTATGTTATCACACAATCAAACAAAAAACAATTTATTTATATTTATAATGTAATATAAGATTGCGTTACAAATCATCTTATTCCCTGAGTACTAATTAGTAATATTGTTTAAAACTTACTTAAAATGTTTCAGAAAACGTATAAAAATATAAAAGTATGAAATGGTAACATTGGTAAAAATAAATAATATATACATTTATTTTCATCGTGGACTTCTAAACGAGAATTTATTACATTTTCAGCAATCGTAGTCAGCGAGAGTATGCAATCAATACTCTATGTAAAAGTGTAGTGTTGGCTCTTAATACGCTTAACACAAATTATTTAATAGATTAAATACTAATTAATAGATTTATGAAAGACATAAATTTTTCATTTGATGACAATTTACATAACACGACATGTCACTGGACATCTACATAATATGTTAAGCTTAACCACTCGGTTTTATCCAGTTTACCGAAATTCACCGCTATGCTGTTGAAACAAAACAAACAAAAATATAATTATACAAATTGAGTAAATATGTGTTACAAATAGTCATTTTTGTTTAGTAATTTTTCTGAACACTGAATGTGTTTTCTCTAATGTGTTGCGGTTTGAATCCTATAGAACAGACAGAGTCATAAGTCGGTCTATTCGAGCTGTTCTTCCTGCTGAAGCGCGTCTCGTTCGGCGGCGATGCGCGCGTGTTGCTCGGCGATGACGCGGAACAAGGACGCGTGGCGCGCCGCCGCCGCCACGACCGCTGCGGACTGACGCGGCACGTACGACTCTGAAATTTATATATTTTGAGTAAATGAACAGGAGACATACGTAACATTATTGTTATTCATTACGCAAGATGGGCGGGTCATATGCTACGGAGTTCCCATGAAAAATGGAGCAAAATATTGACGGAATGGTACCCTAGAGACGGAAAACGAAGAAGAGGTCGACCACGCAAGAGATGGGAGGACGAACTGAAACTAACAGAAAGCTACAACTGGAGAACTCCGAGATATACTGGAGGGAAAATATATTAAAGTTCATATATATAAAATCACAGATTTTCGGAATTTAAAGACTATATTATTATTATTGATTACGTTGAGTTGATTTACCAGTTAAAGGTTTAAGACTTACCACTACTCTTAATTAAGCTACGTAGGTAAGAAGAATTTACCGTCAGGATGCGGGTGAGTCGCATGGTCCTCGGCGATGCGAGCGTAGAGAGAGAGATGCCGGTCTTTGGCGGCGGCCACGGCCTCGGAGTCTTGGGGCAGGGCGGGCAGTGGATCACTCAGCACTGGGTGAAATCCCTCCCGGTCAGCCACGTAGTCCACGGTACGAACACGTTGCGCCGGATCCACGTACGAAAATGTACCTGATATTAGATGTAAAGCTTCATTAGATAATTATTCATTCGTCCGTAAATTACTTAAAGCAATAAAGGAATTTATCCCTTTTAGCCTAGATGTACGAAGTTTATTATATTAGTGGTACTATCTTCGAGTGTTTTACTTTTTATTAAAAAGCAGAAATTAATGCGACGTTGAAACAAAAGCTGGTTATAATGTAAAAAAAGTAAAAGTAAAAACTCATTTAATCACATAGGTAACATAATGTACACTTATGACTTGTCAGTAATTTTTCTTTCCACCGAAGCGTCGACCTTCACTACAATAGTAATATTATGTAGGTATAATACTAGGAATAAAATTTAGTACTAAAAATTAAAAAGTATTTTTTTTTGTCATAATATAGATATGAATCTTTTGACATAATCTCTATAAAGCATATTCGCCCGCAAGGCTTGAAAAGGTCACTAATGAGCCGAAAACTGGACGCAAGAATTTATTCAAATGAATCGAATATACGACGACATCATCAGAACGGGTTTTAGGTCGTTTACTCTTAATATTTTGCCACCATAAAATAATACTTTTTTGGCCAGATATTCTGCAATACACAGACTGGACACAAAAAGCAAATATAGTAGAGTGGTGGGAACAAGCACCTCTCACAACGCCACTGCCATCGCTGACCTCGGCATGCTGTCGGTCTGTGTGTCCGGGATAGCGTCCTGCCGTGTAAGAGAAGGCGTAGGGCCGCGGCGGCGGTTCCGTCGTCGTGATCTCTTGATCATCGGCATCAGCGCGCACACCGCTCAGCGCCACCGAGCATAATAATAGCGTCGCTGCTAACATCTGAAAGCATCAATATTTCTGTTAGTCCACACGGTAAGTCGGAGTACGTTTAGTCTTTAAACTTTTCAACGAATTTTTTTAAATAACAGTTCCATATTTGGCCCATTTTTAAAGGGCAATAGGTTTCATTAAATGTTTGAAGACATAGAGCGAGTCGCCACGGCCGGAATGTGAACTTAAAGCTGACGTCACTCTTCCGCATCGAGGACGATACACGAGGTGGTCTCCAAAAGATCCAATGCCGCTGCACTGCGTACTTTACTTTGATAATAAACCCCAAATAATTATTGTTAAAGTCAACAATGTTTGCGATACATAATGTGTCCGCTATCCGCGAAACGTTTTAAGAAATAAGTGAAACATAGAAACATTAGCGAAATGATTGTGGCTTAAAGGTAATAAGTAGTTGTGCCGAGATAAGCTCGCAAAGAAACATTAGTTTCGCAGGAAGATCCTGTTTCGCGTGATCTAGAGGTTTCCGCACTTCGAGTCGATATTGCGCATCATCATACATTATTATCTATAGATCTCTCAGACGATGACATCAGATCATGATTTTTACGACTTATACTTTGAACAGATTATTGAAAATTGTATTTTGATATTATTAAGTTTTATTAAATTAACGTAAACGGTGTTTAATGATTTGCTTATTTATATCTCTACGGTCACACGTCACTCGGTTAGCGCAACTTATTACATATTTATGTGAAATCCTTTGGCAGTTAGAAGGCTAAAGAACTTTTACTTTTAGTAGTACCAATTCCGCATGTATTTTTGAGACTTGACTCTTATTCGATAGAAACAATTTCAGTCAATGTATATCATTTGTTGTCGAGAGCATCACGGAGCGGTGAGTGCGAGCCCAGCGAAAGTGCAAAGGCGCCCTTGACCGGCACCTATCACTTTCATCTGGACCTTGGCCCACTTGAGCAGCAGCTCGTGTACGCAACCCGATCGCTCGACCACTGATACTAACCGATACACTGTGACGCCCGCACCTAATTCTGCTCGGATGCTGCTGCTATTTGTATACCACAATAATTATTTTATCATATAACAGAAAGAGGCAAAAGGTGTGTTGGCCTCCCACCAACTTCCGCATCACATTTTAAACCCTCCCACTGAGGCATTGTCTCCACTCCTCCATTCGCCTACAACCGTTTAGTTGTATTATTAAATTATTCATTAAAAATATTTCATATGCATAAGAAACTGTAATGTATAAGGAAAAAATTTAAACTCTTTATTAGGATAAGTATTTTGTTTTCGTCGAGACACCGAGGCCTATTTCAACCCAACTGGTATTTCAATCTAACTGGTATTGAATTAAGACTGCTACGTACATTATATTGTTAAATCGGTGAACACGAGAGTTAGGATAGGGGTGGGATGAAACCGAAACGTTCTAAATGCAGTTAACGACGTCAGTGCTACTGATGTGGACTTCGGATTGGTAAAACAACAGTTGACCTTGTTCAGGCGTATGTTAGAAGTGAGATGAGCTGCTAATGTGGAGGAAAGGTCGCACTGCGTGGCTTACGTAACTCATTTTATCGGATCTTGTGTTGTTTTGCTCTATGCGAAATCACCACAATCTACAATAACTAAGTAAATGTCCTATCCTCAATTTTTCAGTCCTCACTTCAGTTTGTTACAATTCCAAAGGTTGAAAAATTTTTTATAAGTTATAATGCCTAATTTAATAATTACGCAATTGATACTGATTACTTAATTTAGTAACAGAAAGGGTTATATAAATATTTTAGCTCGGTATAATATCGGCGAGTTAGATCAGCCTTGTGCAATCCCGGCATTCAGATGAGAGGCACCTCTTTGGGACGTCACTCGTATTGTCATGTTAAGTATTTTAAGTTGTTGAGAGTAGAATTCTACTTGAAATAACACAACTACTTTTACCAATCAAGCAAATAGGACAGCTGACATATTTTCTACCAACAATAACAGTAAAGAAACAAATACTTATTAAAGAAGCGTTTGCGATAAAAATGATTACACGGAAAGAAACTGTCAGGTTCTTGTGTAAGTATATTGAACCAGGAATTAAATAATTACCGAGTTTGGAGTCGATAAAGCGGAGTTTATTAATACAGAACTGATGAGCACATTTTATTATAAAAATGTTTGTTACCCAGATATAAGCACATATCCACATGGAATCTTTGAACGGCATGCATTTCAAATAAAGCTTAGAATATGATAAGATACACATACTGAAGTTCAAGACAACGGTCACTATCATAATGAATTGAAAGTAAGTCAGTTCAAAAGATAAAATAAATCTAAACTATATAAACTTTAAAACAGAAGGTACTAACAATAATCCATTTGCAATTGTTTTTACTGTCAAGTTCAAAAATTTAATTTAATTCCTCTACAAAATGGACCTTTTAATTACACAAGAAATTAAGTTCCTATTTCAACTCATTGACAACATTTAATCATTTAATTTCACGTTTAAAACTTACTTTTGCGAAATTTATATTGAAAAGCATACATATAGTTAAAACTGTCTCTACAGAGACTAAAGCTTTTGGAATTACAAACTAAGAAATTTTAACAAAACAACAAAAATATTTCGCGTCAAATCTTGAAAACAAATGTAAAAAAATGAACTCACCGTAATCTGAACGGAGCCCGATCGTTGTCGACACACAACACAAACTGCTCTAAAGTGAAGGTAAACAACTAGGAGAACTACGTGAACTGGGGATTGATGAACGAGGACCGCAGATTGGCAAGCTGTGAATGAAAGGTACTGTATGTACGCGACGTGCATTACGTCTTGGTACTGCCTCGTCTCGGAAACTGCTTTTACCCGACCGAAGATACAACGGTATTGACCGTGGATTACAATTATAACGTGTGTAAAGCGATTGAATTTTTAAGTTATGCATCCGTAATGGAGTAGAGCCCATATTCATTTCTCAGCAGAGTAAGCTTTGCGGCTCAGGCGATTTTCAAACCTGAGGTCGTGTCTGCGAACCCGCATCTATGGCTTCTCTAGAAACTATCGCGAGAAACTCGCCATTTCTAAGAGTAAATAGCTGAGCGACATCGAGCAAAATGTCGCAAACACAATTTTGCCGTATTTTTGTGCTAGGCGTATGATTTAGCTTCACCAAATAAAATTATCAAAAACACATTTGCAAGAAGTAATTGCATGCTTTTATTGATGAATAGATTAACTTAATAATATTTCATAGTTATTTCAATAAAGTACATAATTTTATTAAAACATCCCATGTTAGAGACCTACGCCTTCCGGATGTAGCGCAGTCGGCAATCGCGATTCCTCTACGCCACTCGTAGCGGTCTGTGCCCTCGCCAGTATTCCCTTTCATGACTTGGAATAACGTTGAATTTGGTGAACGACCCCGATAAGCATGGGTAATTTTTTTTTTATTATTGCTTAATTGAAACCCAATTATCGATATGAAAACTTTTAGATTATAAGATATTTAACATCTGTGCTAGCCGAGAAATCGTACGTTTGACTTATCTGTATTATTTATTTTTCTTATTTTTAATTTTATTATTGTAAAGGTTAGTGTTTTTATTGGTAAACTTACAATGAATTTGATTTAAATGCATTTTCAGACGTTCTGACCGTACCAATGAAGTATGCCAAACTGAATATTTGTGTCTAGATAAAATATTATTCGTGTACAGAGAATTGATGTGAAACTTGTAATTATTATTATGGTCGAGGTGTGTCGTATGAAAGCCCGTACGTGACACGAAATATCATTTTTATAAATGTTAAACACTGGAATTTAACATACAAGGGAACGTCAACATAATTCACAATTATATTTGTTCACTAAATGAAGCTTTATAAGTTTTTGATTCACTTCTCTCCCATTTGCATTTTTCAAAATTTTAATGATCATATTATCTAAGGACTACTATATTTTTATTCTGACAGTAAAAATCAAAGCTTTTTATGAGACTTCATAATGACGAATGAATAGTTGCTTTTTCAATTTCAAATATAACCATGCCTATCACTAGGATCATGACGCATAGGATTTAACATAATTTTAGACTTTTATTTATGATTACGACAAACTCGATAATGTGGCGTAGATTTAGTAAACAGATTTTTGTGTTTACACCAAGTAAACGTTGGGAATATAACTAAATTATAGGGGTGAGTGAGCGCCGATGGTATCACGACACATTGTCATTATACAAATAAGTACGTCGCAGAGATATAAAAATCGGTCGCTTTCATAATTCATAGTTGTTAAATATCAATGTTTTTTATTAATTTGTATGGCTGTTTATTTGCAACGAATAAACTTGTTAAAGATGTTGTATAAAAGGGAAACGAACGAAGTTTATAAATGGGAAACAAAGTTATAAAACAGGTGTGGATGAGAAGCAATCTAACATTTCAAAACTCGAGACTCTAATCATAGTTGTTATTGCTGAGGCTATTACGACGTATAATACAACTCTGTTATTACTAGTATTTTTACGTACTCACATTATGTATCCAGAAGCCGAAACCGAGGCATCGTTTAGCTTTCCCCAGGAAGGGCCGCGAGAGTACCGCGCCGAGGGGGAGTGTACCGTTGGAGGAGCGCATGCCTTTATTTTACGGGTACGTTACCGAAAATCAGTTATTCCAAAATGCAAACGTTTTTACAATTCCTATGTTTATCTTGCATCATAAGAAGAAGAGCCCAGAAGATTTGTAGGGTGAAAGGAGCGTGGTGTTATTGCAGATATCGCGCGTGTTCGGTTTGGCCCCGCTACGATTCGAGGCGCGCGGCGAGAGTTGGGCTGTGCGGGTTTCTCCCGCCGCCTCACTCTACAGCTATATACTCGTCACCGTACTTGGTAAGTCTAGTTCTAAGGACTACTAGAAGTAACTAAATTGTCTATATCGAGTGCGATGTGGTGTCGTAGTGGCTGGCACGGTGTGTGGGCTGTGCGCGGAGGTGCGTGCGGGGACGGCGGCGTCACCGCGCATGGCATCGCAAACGGCACAGCTGGTTTCTGCATGCGACGTGTTGGTGGTGACGCTAACAGCGGCCGCTGCCGTGTACCATGCGCCCGAGCGGATGCGTATCATAATCGCTTTTATGGACACCGTCGCCGATGTACGTATACGACACACACTGTCTCCGTAGTCAACTATCCTCAAAACAAATGTCGAAGATGTTGAGAATTGGTTTAATGTCACAGGTGGATGAAAGCATTGGGGCGCATTTCTCGCGATCGCGAGAGCGGCGTGTGAGCGGCGTTATGCTCGCCATCCTCGTTTTTTTTACGCTGCTTGTTGCCGACGATTTCTGCTTTTACGCACTCCAAGCCAAGAAAATCGACAGGCACTGTGAGTGAGCAGTCGGTCACGTACCGGTCGGCTACTGTGAAATATTTAATTATTTAATAGTGCCTTTTACAGGGGAGGTAGTCCGCAACTACTGTGGGTTCTACCTATTGTGGTTCGTCGTTATCGTTCTGGAGTTGCAATTTGCCTTCACGGCACTGTCGGTGCGTGCTCGTTTTCGAGCCCTTAATGATGCGCTGGCGCTCACGGCCGACCATCTCTGCCGACCCGGTATACATACTCTTCTTATATAATAGATATTATGAACAGATCGACTAATTTATATATTGAAATTGAAATGGGTATAACAATATGAAAACGTTGCTGAACAGGAAACTACTTCCCAGTGGAAAAGACAAACGATCAGGGGGCGCTGAACGTGTTTGCGTTCCATGTGTGTGCGCGAAGCCGGCGCAATACCGCGCCACCCTCCAGGCGAAACCACCTCATCGTCCGAAGAGGTTTTTTACACCTTTACCTTTAGATGCTTGAGTTTAATCTCTTTCGATTTTGAGCTTAGAGAGGCGCTGAGAGAACTGTAAATAAAATTTCGATTTAGAGCGCGGTGGAGGCTGCGGACAACTGGCGGTGCCGGCGGGTGAAGCTTTGGAACGACTTGCAGTATTGCAAGGCGCACTATGCGAAGCTTTGCACCGACTGGATGCCGCCTACGGACTGCCGTTAGCGCTGCTGCTGATATCGACACTGATGCACCTGATCGTTACGCCCTATTTCTTCATAATGGAGATCAGTGAGCATGCCGAACCTTCCCTCACTCGCACTTAAGCCTCCTCAAACTTATCTCTATCATTAATGTTATAGTCGTATCGGTGCACCGCATCCACTTTCTGGTGCTGCAGTTCCTCTGGTGTGCGACGCACGTTTTGCGTATCCTGGTCGTCGTGGAGCCCTGCCACTACACCATAACGGAGGTGACCCACGAAGGTTCACTTTGAATGTCTACGTGGGACCGTTCAGTCATCTACACGTATGTGCAGGGTCGTCGCACGGCGGAGCTGGTCTGTCGGCTGCTTCGGGCGGCGAGCAGCGGCCGCGGTTCGATGCTGGGCGGACGGCTTGACCTTTTCTCGCGACAACTGTCCTTGCAATCAGTTTGCTACTCACCAATGGGGTTTTGCACGCTAGGACGCCCGCTCGTCGCCTCTGTAAGAGAATGATTTAGTAAGCTTACTGTAGTAAGTTCACTCCCCTTCGCAATCGTAAAATATCAAGACATGTCATATTCCTGTCGCTAGTGTATCATTCTGGTGAATAACCTAAAAGTTCATCTGTAAAACGTTAGAATATGTAAGAATATGAAACAATTTTGAAACTTCATAAATAATATAATATAATAATATATAATAATAATATTACAGAAAAAATGTGTAGTGTGCATTTTGTGTGTGAGTGTATGTAACTGATGCATGTGGTTCAAATTGGCTTGATTTAATGACATTAAATGTCTAATAATGTTCTTAGGATATTTTTTTAAAGGGTTGCGACGAGAATTGAATACGTCTAGTGTTGAAAAACAGTTGTCGTATAGTGCAGGTAACCGATTAAATAAATTCTTCAAATACAATAATTTAAAATGCCTTACCGTTATGCAGTATTAGATTTGTTAGAAATTTGTTAAGGGTTTGGTCCGGACGGCATTCCTCCTGTTATTATTACAAGTTGTTTATATCATATTTAAAAAGTTCGAGCTCGATGAATATCTCTCGGATGTGTTCATCCTATTCAGAACTCATCTTCAAGATGTACAAGATCTCTGTCGGTCTGTCTATTTTATGCTTATTATTTTTCAGATTTTTGGCGCAGTAACAACTTACCTCGTGATTCTGATACAATTCCAGAGATATGACGCGTAAACTCCAAGTTCATATATTTGTTTATTTAACACGATTTCACTCACGTACTTAAATATGCATCTTAATGAACTGATGTTCTTTAAAATTGAGACCAATTTTCAAATAAAACAGGCGATCAATTTCGCTCTAAAATCCCTCTTTTTTCTAGATTGAAAATTACATTGTTGTGGATTTAGTGATTATACTTTAACACGACAGCTAGTTTTTAATATACGCTGGGCCACACGAGGCCCGCGATATCGTGGTGAAGGAGGTTAGTGACCACATTACCTATTAGTTAAACTAATACTTAGTCTAATACTTACCACACGTGACCCGCGAGACCGTGGAGTAGGGGGTAAGGGGCCACATTACCTAAAAGAAGGAAACAATAATGCAACGAAAATACTTATATACCTGAATAACTTGGGGGCTGAAGGGTTTGATCCCACATATATCTTGAATTAGTGGTAATACATACTTGTAAAATGTTTTTAAATACATACTTGCGCAGGGCCCCCAGTGTTAGGAAGTTTGACTCCCCATTCACTATGAATATAATCAAAATCTAACGAAGAGATAGCGATTGTTTTTGATAAGTACTTTTCTGACATTCCAATTTCGACTACTAAGTCTCTTGAATCATCTCCCGCCCTCGCTGAATCGCTGCTCAAAGATAATGTAAACGAGTGCAAGGTCAGTTTTACATTCCGACCCATTGGTGCCGACGATATAGTGAGGATATTTAGAACCATAGATATTAAGAACACTACCGATCTTTGGGGTATTTCTGTAAAAATTATTAATAGCATAATTGATGTAATTGCTCCCCATCTAGCTATAATTTTCAACAATTGTATTAAAGTGGCGAGTTTCCCGATCTATTTATTTATTTATTTATTTTATGCACCAACAAAGTAGACACTAATACAAGTAATGTAACACAAACACAAACACAAGCCAAGTGCTACCCCAATTATAGGCGCATACCACATTCTAAATTTTTATAAGTACATTAAAATAAGAAAAAAATAAGTTAAGATAAACCAAAATAAAAACATTACAAAATTAATTGAGTTAATTGAATAACCCCGATAAAATCTTAATGAGTAATCAGCTGAGCCGCTAACTTTTTGAAAATTGATGGGGTGTTTGAAAACATATCTATTTGGGGGAATTCACGACCCCCCCATTGCGATCCAATACCACCATCAATTTCAACGCTATGAATTAAATTATAACTCCTTAAAGATCTATTTAATGGAGCATTCTGACCCAGATTTGATTTTGCAAACTTAATTCTGAAAGGAGGCTTTGCAAATCGTTGCAGCTTTTTAGGAACAGAAATGTTTACTCTGGACAAGATATCAGGGGTATCCAAAATTCCATTTATAAATTTATACAGAAACATGATATCAAGCTGCTCTCTACGATGACGAAGTGATTTAAGGTGAAAATGTAATAGACGATCGTTGTAACTAGAAAGTTTCCTAGCCATGTTGCAACCATAGGATAGGTGCCATAAAAATCGCTTCTGTACATTCTCTAAGCGCTTGATATAGATACCGTAATGCGGATTCCACACAGGACTGCAATATTCGAGAATACTACGTACGAGACATGTGTAAATTGTAACTTTAGTGCTGGGATTCCTAAATTCCTTACAATTACGCAGGACGAAGCCCAACATCCTAAAAGCCCTATTTGTAATATCATCAACATGCAAGTTAAAACGCAATTTACCATCCAGAATCACACCTAAATCCCGAATATGGCTGACTTCCTTAAGTAATGCCTGATTAATATGATAGACTCTGGTTGGCGAGCGTTTTTTCCTGCTGAATCGAACAACATGACATTTTTCAGGATTCAAATTCATTCCGTTTAAACTACACCACATTATCAAATTGTCCAGATCATTTTGCAGTGACATTGCTTCCTCGGGTGAGTTCACAGTCCTATATAATTTTAAATCATCAGCGAACATCAAGAATTTAGACCCTTGAACGCAGTTTCCGATGTCGTTGATGAAGATATTAAAGAATAATGGACCTAAGTGTGACCCTTGAGGCACTCCAGATATGGCAGTGAATTCTTTGGATTTGTACCCACCAACTACAACTACTGACTGCCTATTTGACAGGTATGATCTGCACCAATTTAAAAATATGCCATCAATTCCAATAGAGGAGAGTTTGTGTATTAACATAACATGGCTCACCCTGTCGAAGGCCTTGCTGAAATCGGTGTATATTGCATCATATGATTGCCCACGATCAACCCCCTCAGCAAGATCTTCCACGAAGGAAACCAAATTAGTCGACGTGGAACGTGACTTAACGAATCCATGCTGTTCAGCTGCGATAAAATGTTTGAAGTGATTATATATTATTGGGCACAAAATAGATTCAAAAACCTTCGCGAAAGTTGGAAGTATAGATATAGGTCTATAATTTAATACCGTACTCGTGTCACCACTTTTGAACAATGGTATTACAAGAGCACTTTTCCAAACCGTTGGGAATATTCCAGAGTTAAGAGAGCTATTAATAATAATGCTGAGTGGTAGTGCTAGTTCACTAGCACATTTTATCGCAAAAATAGAAGGTATTCCATCGGAACCAGCACCTTTCGAAGGGTCAAGTCTTTTTAAAACTCTGAAAACTTGATCAGTAGTTACCGATATTGAAGTTAAACAATTGGTTAACGAACTAGACTGGCCACTGATCGATATGTTGTCCGAGTTGTATACCGAAGAAAAATGTGATGCGAAAAGATTGCAAATGTCTGACCCCGACGAAGCTACTTCATCACCTAAAGACATTCGGGCAGGGTAAGAGCTTATCCTTTCCTCTTTTTTGCTTGATAAAGCTCCATATAAGTTTTGGATTCGTAGATAATGAAGTCTCTAAGCGTTTTAAATATAATCTATAGCTTAAGTTATGGAGTTTTGTACATCTTTCCCGTAGCATTTCAAAAGTAATTAAATCACGAGGATTGCCGTATTTGCGATATTTGGTGCGATATTTGAATTTTTCGTTGATTACCTTCACCAATGCCGCGGAGAACCATGTTGGATATTTACAAGAACGTGGTTTGGATTTTGGAACATGTTTAGATATTATGACTCTAAGAATTTTATAGAACTGTGCTACCATATCGTCAACGCTAGCACAATTGGAAAGGTCAGTGTGCCAAGGAATATTATTTAGATCACTTGTAATTTTTTCATAATCTGCTTTATGGAATCGAAACCTGGCTTCTTCATGGGAATTGAGTTTTTCTTTATGGACAATATCAATACAAAATTCAATCGGAGGATGCAGAGGGTCAACACTTGAAAGAGGATCTTTGCTCTCACTTACATGAGAGATTACCATAGAGCTCATTATTAGATCTAGAATTCGGTTTTTGCTGTTAAGGCAATTATTAAATTGTGAAAGATTATTTAACGACATAAAGTCTATAATCATGTTATTTAACATACTATTTGTCGTTATTGGTATTAACGTGGAATTATGTGTCCCGTTCCAACATAGGCTACTCATGTTAAAATCACCAAGAACGATGATGTTAGAGCTGAGATTTTCAATAATACAATTAGCGTTATGAATAAAGTGCTTTAAAATATGCTTTTGTACAGGAGGGGGAATATACGCAGCACATATGTACAAAAGATCGATTTCACCCTTACTGTTAATTAGTTCCAGCTTAACCCAGATATCCTCACAGTCTGATTCGTAGGCACAAATACGGTGTGACTGAAAGCGCTTGGAAACAGCTATCAATACCCCACCCCTAGTTTATTGCTGTGAAAACCACTGCTTTCCCGATCGCGCCTATACACTACATAACGATCGTCAAATAATTCATTATCCGATACACTGCTGTTTAACCACGTCTCTGTAAAAACTATTACATCAAAATTACAGCACAAAACATTACTAAATAGTTCAATAGTTTTGGTTTTTAATCCTCTAACATTTTGATAAAAACAGTTTAAGATGCCCTTAGTAAAAAACAATGTCAAATTTAGCGGCATAATGACAACTTATTTACTAAATCAATGTCTTTAACGTAGATATGACTTGACTGCTCATCCTTCCGCATGTATATCCTCGCGTCTCGCACCCAAACAAATTTATATCCAAGTTCTTTGGCTTTAGAACGGGCAGCTGCGTGCAAGCGCTTGTTCTCATGGGTTAGGTGTTCCGCTACATAAATAGCAGCCTTCCTGTTAGCACCAATACCCAAATGACTGGTATTCAACTTGTCTTCACGATTGTGTTTGTTAAATTTACTAGTTGCTGCTAGAAACTCGTCACGAAGACGTGGGCTATTAAATTTCACGAGTATTGAACGGGGGCGAGGACTAGAGTTGTTCATCTTATCTAGTCGGGAGCAGTAGTGAATTTGCGTCTCGCTAATAGGGCACTTGATCACTTTTCCTAGCTGCATTACAGTGTTTATTAAATTTTCCTGTTTATTTTCAGGGACACATTGAATTTCTATATTACAGGACCTTGAACGCTGATCCAGGGCATTAAGATGACTCCACAAAGCTCTGTTCTCTGCCTGAAGCGTTTCTATGACTTTTGTGTTCTCGCTTACTTTCTTATTTATACCTTCAAATTGTGATGAAAAGTAGTTAAGTTTTTCTTTCAGCTGCTCAAAATCCTCGTGAATTGACTTATTTTCCAATATTATCTGCTGCCCAACTTCTGCTAGAATAGTGGCAGTTGTCTCCTGGAGTTTGGCCTCTATGTACTGTTTAAGCTCATCCATGTAAGAATCACCTACACCGCTCAATGATGAGGGTGAACAAACTACAGCACTCGGATTCTCTTGCCTTACTGGGGTGCTATCACCTTTCTTTTCTATACTTTTACAATTGGGACACTTCCAATTAGCTTTTGCCTGCTTAGATTCTTTGTGAAAGTTCTCCGTTGTAGTACCCAAGCATTGGTAGTGATAGTGCCCAACACACTGAGAACAAACTTTGTCTTCAATTGGCTTCACAATTTTATTGCAAGCTTTGCACTTCATCCCGTTATCAAGCTTGTTGAATAAGGAAAACGTAACCTCGCAAGCTTATGCACTATGGTTTCGATGGCAACAATACGTGTATCTTGTCGTCTCTTATCAGTAGTCTGTGCTTGTCAGTTATGTGACGGTATCACAAAGTTGTAATTTCAACAAAAAAATATAACAAGATAACAAATGAGGGTATCTTGATTTGTGATGCAAAAAACAAATTTTTATGTGATAGTTGTAAAAATGTTGTGTGTTTCGTTGAAATAATAATGGATGACGTGAGCCTGATATAGTTCTTGACTTTAACAACACTTTTCACAATAAATAACCACAATTAATATTTATAAAAGCACTTAATCACTGATACTGAACTGAGCGGACACGTTGACGGTACTAATGAAACATAGTAAAGTTATTCCATTATTTAAAGCAGGTAGTATGTCCGACCCCAGTAACTTTAGACCAATTTACGTACTACCTACTTGTAGTAAAATATTTGAAAAAATTATATTAAATCAACTGGTAAGTCATTTTAACGTAAACAAATTATTACATAATAATCAGTTCGGTTTTACCAAGGGTCGCTCGACAGCCGATGCCGGTGTTGAGTTATATAGATATATAGTTAAGGCTTGGGAGGAGTCGCATGACGCTTTAGGTGTTTTCTGCGACTTATCCAAAGCATTTGATTGTGTCCAACACGAGACCTTAATCGGGAAACTCTGCCACTATGGCATCAAGAATACCGCACTGAATCTTCTGACTTCCTATTTACACGGAAGAACTCAGAAGGTTGAAGTGAATGGTAAGAGGTCCTCTGGGTAAGCAGTAGATATGGGGGTACCGCAGGGCTCAATTCTTGGCCCTTTCCTCTTTCTTGTTTATATAAATGATCTACCTTTCATGGTAGAGAGAAAACATCAGATAGTTTGCTGATAACACGTCCTTGATTTTTAAAATCAAACGACAAATAACAAATTTTGACGATGTGAACAATGCTCTGTCTTCGATTGTCCATTGGTTTAGTATGAATAACCTTCTACTTAATGCAAAAAAGACAAAATGCATTAAATTTTGTGCAAAAAATGCAAGGGTTATGGATACTAGACCAATTATAAACGGTGAGGAATTGAATCTGGATGATACAACTGTATTTCTCGGAATCACCATGGATTCAAAACTTCAGTGGTCCCCTCATATTAACGGATTGGCGAAGAGACTTAGTTCTGCAGCCTACGCGGTTAAAAAAATTCGCTCACTAACTGATGTCGATACAGCTAGACTTGTTTATTTTAGTTACTTTCATAGCTGAATGACTTATGGCTTATTATTATGGGGTCATGCTGCTGATGTCGAAACTACTTTCATCCTGCAGAAGAGGGCTATTCGTGCAATCTATAATTTAAAATGTAGGGAATCTCTTAGAGATAAATTCAAGGAAATTAATATACTTACCTTTCCCTCGCAATATATTTATGAAAATATTATGTATGTATACAAAAATAGTGATAAGTTTACTAGAATAGAACATACGCACAATGTTAATACACGGAACAAACGCAGGCTGCAATTTCCCCGTACTAGACTATCTAAAGTTAGTAATTCTTTTTTGGGGAAAGGGATAGTCTTCTTTAATAAAATCCCAGAGGCTCTTTTATCACTGCCTTTCAATAAATTTAAGAAATGTATTAAAGAAAAGCTGTGTAAAAAGGCTTACTATAAAGTCAACGATTATCTAGTTGATAAAAGGGCCTGGGACTAGTGCTAGACAGGCTACTTCTAATTAATTTGCGATATTTGTTTTAAATAAATGTTGTTTGATGATTTGCTGTTTTAAAAGAGTACCGAGAGTTTTTTACGCCGGCTTTTTCTCTCGGCCTACACCCTCTGTCTTCTTTGCCGATGAGTAGGGATGCCTTCAAATTGAATGACGTGGAATAAGTGATACATGTATCTTATGTTCCATAATAAATAAACATATTTTAACATAATAAAGGAAGCATATTTCTAGAAGTTATGTATTTATTAATATTAAATACTGAATTCCGTAATTACAGTAGTATTAGCAGTATGGGCGTCGGCATCCTGCCTCCAATGTGGTCACAGGGGGTCAGAACGACCAATTATACTATATAACACTTTTTAACGGATTGCTTAAGGTATCAACTGCGTATGTTTTTTACTCTAACATATGACGGTTTCATAGACTTAATACATGACATAAAAACAAGAAACCAATTCCTTAATTACTGCGTACGTGTCGCAAAGAATGCGGTAATAGGAAATAATCGTGAATAGTTAGCTTAAAACAATACATGTAAACGAAGCCTCTTTGTGGAAGAGGACTCGTAGTCAGAGAGTCGAGCGGAAGCTCTTCAACCCTGGAACGCATTAAAAAAACGAGTATTCATTGGTCCTCTATTTTTATCCTAATACAATGTAATATAATATGTAATTGTAACAATCTTAAAAATTATCACCTGCCAAAATATACCGAATACTTTTTCTATTTTCAATCGTATGAGTACGAAAATTTTACGAGGAATCTTAATTTAAATTAAATAAGTTAACTTGCAAGTTTTCAAATTTTGATGTAAAACTTTAAAATTATTGTTTTATTGCTTTTAAAGAATAAAATGCATCTTGAAATAAAACGTTTTATTTTTATTTTATCCCTGAATTTTAAAACATCCGTAACTCGATTAATTATGACCGGATAATAGAAGTCATAGAAATTTGTTTATATAAACACATACTCCAAATCTATAAATTTTAATTTGCACAGTTTTGCAGTTTTGTTTTTATCTGCCTTTATTCCTTTTAAAGAACCTTTTAAGGAACAGTCCACGTTGAATACATTATTCAGCAGTTTTCACTTGTAAACACCTTTTAAGATTTACTAAATTGTATCTAAGATTTACGTAAAAATTACTGAAAACTGACAGCGTATTGTTATGGGTCAAGCGATGATAGCGATTAGCTTTGCGTTTTCTCCTCCATTGCAGAATTGTTAATGAAAATATAGGAATTATATTTAAATTTTAACCTAATAAATATTAATAACTTCTTACATGATGAAAAAAACAACAAATAAGTTATTAATTTTTATTAAAAAATATCATTCAATACATTTATTTTTATTAAAAGTAAAAAAATTAAATAAAGGGTACAAAAACTACAATTTATAATTTTAATCATCTTCTTCCTCTTCGTCGTCGTCTTCCGGCTGCTGGAAAACTTCATTATCGTCTTCAACGATATTTGTCTCAAGTTCTTCCATGATTTCGGATTCCATCTTCGTTAATGTCGCTCTGATATGGTAGAGCATTGAGACAAGCTTGCCCATTACATTGGCCACAAGCTAAAGAGCATTGCAAGCCCGCTTTCCTGCATCCGCACGCGAACCACAACCACTCTTGCAGTTGCAGAAAATTGTATTTAGCAAACATTCTGGTAGTAAAATTGTCATGATAGGCTCCAGAAAATCGTTTCGCATTGCCCAACCCCACACCTGGGGTTCCAAATCATGCCCTAACCAAGTTTGAACTTGATAATATACACGTTTGAAATGTTGATGAGCAGCTGCACAGTTTTATTAAGTTCCCAGGTATAGGTAATTTTTGACGTAGGGGAAGGATTTTAAAATTTACAGATTTGAAAGAAGATGCACTTAATTATTTTCTATCTAAAATGTCATTAGTATAAAAAAAAATTAAACAAAATTTGTAGAGAATTTTGTATTCTACAATATTGATAATAAATACAAATAGCAAAAAAACCCATAGGAAATGAGATATTTACAAAAAAAGCGCAAAATACCGATTTTTGTGACCTTGAAATTTAATATTTGCGTACACCCTACCATAATACATATGTAGGTTTTGAGACAACTTTTAGGGTGTCAATATACAAGTATTTATCTCGAATTCCGAGATTTTTACCTAATTTAAGCATAAATGACTGGACTATCACGCTTGTCGTAAATATACCTGTGCTGAATTTCACATCTATTGTAATTATGTTTTTAAAATTGCATAGGACAAAAAAAATCGTCGATTACCACAGGTAAATCAATTCTTAATAAAGTATAAAATCAATTATTTGTCATTTATTAGCTGTCACCATCATTTGTCATCTAATAGCTGTCACCATCATTTGTCAAGCGTCAGCTGTTATTTATAATTAACAAAAAATTTGTAATTAGTAAGTACTAACTACTAAAACCGAATTTCAAACGAGAATTCCTTATTTAATAAATACACTGTTCATGGTCAATCAGATTTTTTAAGTAATATTTGTTTAATAAGGCTTTGGCGAGATGGCGACCATACCGCTGGGTATCAAAACACAAACACAAAAGTTATGTAACCTATATAAACGAGCCATACGTAATTTGGAGTCGTACTATGATAGACGGTAAGCTTTATTTGTTCCTCAAGTAATTTCTCTCTAAAACTTAATTTGAATACAACCTAAAAAGTTGCAATTCACCAAATACATTTGCAGTTCTGATCTCCAAAAATATTGCAAATGCTAATGCTTTGGTGCTCATGTTCTTCATAATAATGATTTACCCTGCATAATTTTAGAGGTAATTTAAAAAAAAATCGTATAAAGTGAAGTAGTGTAAATCAAAATGTAAAAAAAAACAGTTATTGTATTACTTACTAGTAATGTGTATGTTTGTTGATATGTATTATGTTGTACTTGGAAGACACATTTAAACTATTCATATTTTGTTATAAAGCTCCATGTAAGGTAGTACTGTTGTAAAATCTAGAAAAGTATAATATGGTAGCTTGTTATAATTGTTATGTAATATAGTAAATAGTGCCTACAACAGAGCCCATGTATAGTAACATACCTATATTTTTAGACATGTATTCCGTTTCCAAGCAGTATTGCTAAGAGAAAGATTTGACAAAATCGCTGCCCTGCAAGACCAGCGTGAATTTAATCAACGCCTCCAAGAAGAAGAAGACTCACTCTTTGCAATCATACATCCTATACCGAAGAAGTGTAAGTTTTCTTGACAAAATATATACATATTACCTGTATGAAAAAGCACAAGCATTTGTTCAGTATTATTATCTAGGGCTTAGCCAACTCTATCCTGCTAAAAAGGTTGGTGTCAATACCCAAAAATTAGATTTTGCAAATCCTATAATAAACCTTGATTACCTTTTATAGGAAATGACCCTAATACCCTTCTGATTGTGGTAATATAAGGCCTTAAGGCCTCAGGCACACAACCCAAAGTATTTCTAAGGCACACATAATACCTACCATATTCAATTATTTACGATAAATGCAAGGTCCAGCTCGGAGTATACTTTTCTTGCCAATGTGGTTAAACACTTTCATACTTCAATATATTCATAATGTATATTAATACAAGAGTAGAATTAAAAGTAAATACATAATTTATTTATTCCAGTTCCTTTGAGTCCGGGTGGTGTTGCATATGCCCGAGTAGTGACTCCGCCTGACTGGGTACTGGACTACTGGCATCCACTGGAAAAGGCGCAGTACCCTGAATACTTCAAGCGGCGCGAGGAACGTAAGAAGGAATTTGTAGCCCTGTGGGAGAAAGAGTTTGGCAAGGATGAGCCAAAAGACAAACACCATTAGACAGTTGTTTTAAGTTATAAAGTGTAAATCAAATATATTAGTGCTCATAATTGGTTTTTGGTTGACATTTATTGATAAAGTCCAACTGAAGGTAACAATACTGAATAAATAATAATAATAAATTGTTTATTTGCCAAGATAGTGGTACAATTAGATCGAACAACAAGAAAAATCCGCACAATCAGCCATATATAAATAGGCATGCAAATGTCATATTAATGTTTTGCAATGTCATATAATAAGAAAATTAACATAATGTCATAATAAGAAGTTAAGTCATTTATAATTGTTAAACTTGACTTTCAAAACCTCTTCACCTTCCCCTTGAAAACATTACATGGCAGCGATCTATAACTTCTAGGAAGGTGATTAAATATTCTTATAGCCATGCCGTAACAATTTTTGGAATATAGCGCGGTGCAACATGCAGGCACCCACAGCCGTGTTGGATCCCTCGGTATTTACGAGTACAAGCAAGTTTCTTTATAATGTTTTAAATAATTTTGGATGCTTCTTTACAGGCATAACTGTTCCAAGTTATATTAAGTGTACCTACGTGATTTCGCTAAGATTTAGTTCAATAGAATCTAGTTTGTTAAGAAGTCCTGCTATATTTTGGTGTAATAAGTAAGGGCTACTTATTAGGTCATTTCGTGAGGAACTTGAGTCTTCATTAAAAAATCTCTATTGTTTACATGTGAGTTCTGGCTAGGTCTTATCACGGGAAAATAGTACGGTATGGTACCCTTTCTAGGAATGTCGCCACGATTACATAGTTTTTTTACATTTTTTTCTTGAAAGTCAAATTTTTTTTGGTATACTAATCATAGTCAAATATATAGTTTAACTTTTTACATACACTTGCCAGATATTGCCTTTTATAAGTACCACGTTCAATATCTAAATATGAACAATTTTTAGAACTATTACAAATCATTTTCAACACATTATTAAGTAATTTTTCATTAAGAAACCTATTAGTACAGACATTTAATAAAATTATTTTGCTGTTTTTGATAATTTTTAGTAAAGCGCATAGTTCTATAAATATTTGGCATGGATTGGTATCATTTTCACTTAAGCATAGTACCAGGTAATTTCCCACAATGTCATCCAAACCGTCAACTGTACCTAAGAGATCACACGTTTTTGCATTGAGTTTAATGATGGAGTTAATTTCAAAGCGTCCGTATTGTGTATTAAATCTCGATCGTATAAGCTCCGAGGCAAGTCCTCGGCATTGTTGACTGCCTATTATATGTCTTGAATTTTATGTTAGGCAGATGGTCAGCTATTGGAAAGCTAGCGCCATCTCTCGAGGACGGTAAGCATTCTTTAGGTTTTATAAAATTGCTCCTGGAATCAGCGTTAAGAACCTCTATCGAGTTTTCTAATAATTATTGAAGAACTATCGCTAGGTACAAGAATAATCGCCAATAGTAGGTATTCTTAGACATGCGGTCAGCGGTGAAACTAGATCTGGGGACTCCCGCACAATTTTATATACATCTAGCCTCGGACTGCGAGGAGATTCATTCCTTTCAAATCGTACCAACAATATAATCGAAAGTGAATTCATAAAATCTCTTTTACAAACTTTAGACACAGGCCCCAAATTATATTATGCACCTTTACATCACAAAAATGATTGTACATTACATATTTAGAAAGATTTATCATAAGATGCTCCTTTGCAGCTGATATGCTATCTTTAGTAGAATCACTATTGATTATAATGGCAGGCATGTCACCGGGACACTTGATTGACTCAAGCCAGCCTATCTGTGGGCATTAGGTCACCAACCTTAACAATCCACTAATGCCAAACACTCTTAAGCAGGCGTAAACTTTTATTGATTCGCCGGACACTATACACCATCCGCTCCGCACTTCAGTCGTTACAAGATCTGGTATAGTAGCACAAAATACTGCAGTAGCGAAGCCATCATACCAGAGCCATTAAGTCATCCGACATAGAATCAACGCGGCAATCCCCCAGCGTGATCCCTAACTATACTTAACCTGGTGTTGTGTAGGTACTTATTATATCTACATATAACGTCTGTAGGTGATTAGTTTACGTGTCATGAAACTGTGATGTGTTCTGACAAGAACAGATCAAGAGTTAAAGAAGCGGTCGTGTGTTCTGAAAAGAACAGTTGTCATCGTTGTCGTAAGACACGGTAACAATATGTCCTGACAAGGACAGTTGTTAAACGTTTTCGTCATGAAACAATAGTATGTTCTGAAAAGAACAGTTTATAAACGTTTTGAGAAGAACACGTTCGTAGGCTTCGACGGCTGCGCGCAGAAAAGGGCCAACTTTTTGCCGCGCCGCGTTTTTATTGCCTACGCACCCTGCGCATCTGGTGCCACATGTTATTACTAGTAAGTGTACGATAATTTTTGGGTATAAATGTACATAGTTTTGAAAATAAAAGGCATTCCATCTTCACCTCTTCTCTAAAAACAAGTAGGGAGTTTTATTTTAAAACAACCAAATAACTCTGAATCAATCTACCCTAAAGGTCCTTACATACTAAAATGGCATTTTGTATGGAAGGAACAAAAAGTAGATGTTTTTTAAATAGAATAAATTTAATTAATCAAAGTATGCACCATTGCTATCTATACCATCTTATAGGTAGGTAGTTCATTGATCCCTTTACAAAAAAAAAAACATTCGGACGGGATTGATTCCCGTCTTTCTTAAAATCTTTGAAGGCGGTTACGACTGCCCCATCAGAGTTGCAAGAAGAATTTTTCACCTTGTAAGAAGTAATCTGAATTTCGTAAAAAATGGTAATCTTTTGGGGCAAGGTCCGGGGATTACGGTGGTTGTCTCAGACATGCCAATTGAAGCTCCTCTAATTTGGTAGCAGTTGTTGTGCAGTGTGTGGTCTAGCGATGTAGAGGGATTGATCAGCCTTGTTTGGCTTTTCCGTTGTACCTTATTTGGTATTGGTATGTTCTTATAAGGTACTGAGTAATGTAATGAAACGATACTATTTAATACGAGTGTTGGTACAATACTGACTTATATTAAAACATAAGTGCATTTATATTAATCATGTAGGCACAGTACATCCCCCTTAATAAAATAAAAATACATAGCAAATGTTACAAACAAAGTAGAATAATTTCTATGACACGTGACCAACTCAAGAACTTAATTTCAGATGTGAATACACAATAATCATAAAATAATGAAAATTAAGAATATTTGATTTCGTAAACCAGATTAAACATCCTTTATAATTTAAAAAAAATACAAATCTGTAAAACGTTTCAGAGTCTTCATTAGAACAAGACGTCATAAACGTCAATCCTAAAATAAAGACTGCCATTAAAATAACTCCACCATTAGGTATGTATATATATTATGTTTAAAACGCAATTATTACGATAGGTTTAATAAGTCATCCGAATCTCGATACTTTAGAACTATTGTTTACTAAAGTTGTTTCCTCATTTGGTGCACCTAGGTCTTTGGAGTGTTTGATTGCATACGCAGCTGGCTTTTAATGATCTGTACTAACGACTTTCTGTGTGTCTCTTTGCATACTTTTGAAATATTTTTCTGTCTTGGATCAAACTTGAAATGGACCTATATATGGTTTAGTAAGAGGTTTAGTGACCTTATCAACACGTAAAATACATGTGTACACGTCTTCAATTCTGGTTGAACAAAATTTTTTCCCGGACGTTGCTCTTTCGTTGGAATTGATATCATCCTTAAACTTGCTCTTACTCCCATAAGAACAGTTGGTAATTCTGATACCCAATGTTTTGTTCTCCCTCTGCACATTAATGCAGCTTTAAGCGACCTGTGCCATCTTTCTACGAGGCCATTCGCCTGTGGATGGTACGCTGTTGTTCTAAATTTATTTATGCCCATTCTTCTGGTCAAATGTGTAAACAATTGTGACAAAAATGTGGATTCTTGATCGGTAGTAATATGTATGGGGCACCCAAATCTTGATATCCACCCTGAATACATGATATCTGCAACAGTTTCAGCACTTATGTCGTTTACAGGATAAGCTTCTGGCCAACCCGTTTTCCTATCTACCATGGTAACAATATATCTGAATCCTTCGCAGTAAATTAATGGTCCCACTATATCCACGTGTAAATGACCAAATCTATCACTGAAAATAAAATGTCCATGTGGAGATACTGTATGACGTAGAATTTTTGATTTCTGGCAATTAATACATTCCTTTGTCCATTGAGTCACATCTTTATTCATTCCATGCCATATTATGTATCTATGTTGCATCATCTTTCTAGTTGTGCGCGTGCCAGGATGATTGACACTGTGTACCGCGTTGAAAGCTGATACGCGAAACTCTCTAGGCATGGTCTGCAACGCCCTAACGACACATCGCAATAAACACGTGTATTACAATTGGGTACAATGACCTGCTGAAACATTAGAGATTTCGATTTCAATAGATTTTCCAACTCTGGGTCGTTTGTTTGTGCTTCTGCCAACTTTTCATAATCTATATGTGATACATCTAATGCTGATATTCTTGAAAAACAGTCAGCAACCACATTATCTAATCCCGAAATATGCTTTATCTCTGTACAAAACTGCATTGTAAAATCAAACTGGCGTATTCGTCGTGGCGTATAATTTTTTCCAATAGTATTTTTCTGAAGTGAATGTACAATGGGCTTATGATCTGTATATATCGTGAATAACCTGCCTTCTACTCAGTATCGAAAATGTTTAATGGCTTGGTAAATCGCTAATAACTCTCTGTCATATATTATGTAGAATATTTTTGTTGAGCTTCACTTAGTTTGTTGGAAAAGAATCCAAGGCCAACCCGACCCCGGCACTAGTCCACCAGATGCTCACAAGTAATTTTTTGGAGTAAATTTTCGCTTGGGGCACGATTTGGATGGTTCGGCTGGGATGCGATGAGCGCTTCCGGTTATCGTACAGGATCCATTTTTTATCACAGGCAATGGTTCGATTTTAACCAGTACGACCATGGCCATCGGCCCACAACATTCATAAACTTCAATTCTGCACCACACACCGCCAATATTGTACATTTAAAGAGAAATATCTTTTACCAACTGTTGTAAGAAACTGATTGATGATGTGAAACTCCATGATTTCTAAAAAATAAAAGCATCTGTACTAGTGTGTAGGAAGTAAAAAAAGATTCTATAGACTTTATCACTTTGTGTAAAAGTGACTCGAAAGCTTCTTTTGTTATCCTAAATCTAAATGTGAATTCGGCGTCATCCAGGCTTTGGATATAATTTATTCTTGTCAGTCTTCGCACAGAAGTGCGTTGTCTTCCTTCAGCGTCAGAATCACTATCCCAATCGGATAATTGCATTAATACTTCCAAATTACTATCACTAGAACTGGAGGACGACGAAGATGAATACATTTTACTAACGAATATAAAGTTATATCGTAATCCCGAACCCTAATCCTACGAATGTCACCGATAGCGATCCGCGATTGATTTGGCCAATCGAAGCAACTGTCAAAATGGACAAATATTGACACGTGTAAACATTCATTTTCATATAGAGGCCAATCTTCAATCTCTGATCCGTCCTCTGAACGATTGGTTGAATAATTAGATTTCTTTAGAAATGGATTGAATTGTCGACCTGAGATTGACCAAAACTCAAAATACCTCTACAATAAGTGTGGTGTTGTGTTGGGTGAGTGAGTTAAGAATATATTCATATTATATCTGCAATGGTTACGAGTACGTTACCGAGGAGTTGCACTGCTCCTTTTGTAAGAAGCTTTAGGTACAGTGCTGGGATATTCTGCCACCACCATTGCGAGAATCAAGATCAATAGTATATATTCGAAACAGATGCACAGAATTACTGTTGGTGGCATTTACTAACCAGACTCGGTCGTACACAAGCACGAACCGAACCTTACCTACTTTCTTAATGTATTTTTTCTTCGCAAAATCACATCAAACATCATTTAACTCAAGACAGAATTTTTATCAGGAAAGCGTAGGTACCTACGTACATATCTTACAATCACACCAATGTTATCTACTCGTAAGGATTGTTAACATAATACCTAATTGATATTCTCAGGTATCAGCTTATTAGATTATATTAAGTGACTACCTACTCTTGCGACGGGGTGATAACCATCGGCACGTGTGCTCAATCATAATATTAATGAGAATCAATAAGTGTAGACACTTATTGACACTATATATAATATTTGGAGTATCGGACATATACTGAGTGTATCTGTTTATTCTTACAACTCAATGGTATGAATCCAAGTAGACCGTAATTTCGATCAATACTAATACTACTTTATTAATTTACTACAAGCACGACAGAGCTTGCATTAAACTTCTCAGCTTGTTAGATTTTGACATCACTTCTATATAAATTTGTACGCTATATGTATTTCTTTTCCAGCATAGTTGACTGAATTTTTAGTCAGGTGTTCGACAGTCAAATATGGATATTTGGCGGTTACAGCGGTTTTAACATTTTTTGTAATGATACATCTAGTCGTAACCACAAAAAGTAACACGCCAAAAATAAAGTATTACATTATAGATAAGATAGCTTAACGTGGATAATGCTTATCGAGTTATAGCAATAATATATAAATAATTAAGGTATCGTTAATCTTTATTGTTCGATGTGATAACGTCGGAATATCAAAATGTAAAAGCAGTAGTTATCGCGTATTTATGTAGCTATATACTTATCATAGAAATAAAAGCATGAAACATTTTTGAAATACAGGTACCTACCGGCTGTTAGTGACAGAAAAACAAAGACACGAACAGCGACGCAATTCCACGTTCCTAACGGCCAACTTCAATAATCAATGTACAGTTAAAGTTTACATATTGTTATTGCGAATTTATCTTACAGTAAGAGATCATTAGATTATTTAGAAGTCTTTCTAAACCCAATTAAAATCCTTTATCGACAAATCATTAATTAAAGACAGCAGAAATATATGTTCATTGTAGCTATTTGTGCAGTTTTCTAATGGTATATGGGTACCTGCATTAGTGAGAAACCTCTATAAGGGAGAATGAGATTGTGCTCCCTTGAACTCTCGCTTATCCAGGTTTGACTATATTTCTAGGTAGTTTCAATTGAAAATCAAATTATTTTATTACTAGATATACTCGTAGATAACGGACTAAAAATTATCCATATCTCCCTTCTTCCATGAGTCCTTAACTTATAATAATATCGCATTAATGTACCGAGACTCAGATTAAGCTATTGTAAAAACAGATTGATCATTACATTTTTTTGCAAAAACATGATAGTCTTTCCGGAAAATACAAAAAATTTAAAACTTTTATCTTTATTAACTTTTATCGATCGCATCCTATACTACCTCCGTTTAAAAAAATACTCAATTCATGGAGTAGGTACACAGTACTCAATTTGCCCCACGTTACAACGCGAGCAGGAGAGCGGCAGAAGCGAGCAGCGCGGCAGACGCGGCGTTGCTTATGGCGCCGCTGCAGGCGTGCGGCTCGGGGCCCAGGCACGTGGCGTAGGCCATGAGGTGCGGGAGTCGGCTCTGCTCATAGACGCCTCCGAATAGACCGTGCTGTGGCCCTCGCGCGAACACACCGACGTCGTCGCCGCCGTGTGTCTCCGACGACAGTGGAACATCCACGTGCGACATCCATCGCGTCGACCCTTCATATGACAATAGTTAATACAAATCGTTCTACTATCTTGCACGTTGAAATTTCTAGAAATTGTGGTGACTCACGGTAGTCCTGCTCGAGCGTGACATCGCTTCGAGGGCGCGTTCCGGGTGCGCGGTGCCCCGGGCCGTTGGTGTAGGACAGAGTCATGTAGTGCACGCCATCCGAATCCCGCGTCCCGGACGGTCCTAACACGCTGTTGCCACGGGCGCTGTATCCGTTGAAGGCCATGACGTGCGCGTGATCGGCCGTCACAACGAGCAAGTCCTGCTCGGCTGACAGAAGCTCGGTGGCGCGCTGAACGGCGGCGCTCAACGCCAAGGTCTCGTCCAATGCCAGCTCGGCCAGGTTTTCATGATGAGCGTGGTCGATACGTCCACTCTCCACAAACAAAAAAAATCCTCGCTGATTGCGCGAAAGCAACCGGATCGCCGTCTCCGTAAGCTCGGCGAGCGAAGGTTCTGTGCGATTGTCAGCCTCCATGTGGTATTGCATGTGGCTGGCTTCGAAAAGCCCGAGCAAATATTGCGGACCCTGCTCGCGCGCCTCCAAGAGCTGCTCACGGTTCCACACATAGCGGAAGGTCTCGTTACGACTCCTCTTATCGGCCTGCCACTCCTCGATCAAATTGCGGTTGTCACTTCTTCTACCGCTGGTTCCTTCTTCGTCCACTACACTGGACGGTAAAAACTCGCGTCTTCCTCCTCCTAATATCACCTAAAATTGTGGAGTTTAATATTTTGTGTGATAGATAACTGTACGTTATGTGCTTTTTAGTTATGTGTTTAATAACCTAGCAATACCTTAAAGAGTTTCCCTGGCTCCTCGTTTACAAGCTGCGAAGCAATGTCGGGACACTGAGTCGAGTCGACGTCGTCCGTGGTCACGTCAGTGTCGCTCTCCCAGTCGCGGTTGGCGGAGCGTGCGTACGCACCCGCCGGGGAAGCGTGTGTTACTCGTGCTGTCGTCACAATACCTGCACATGTAGGAAAGAGTTCTACATAGATCGCAATTTAATTCATTTATGTAATAAATTTATTTACAATCATTATGAATAAAATATTTAAATGTTTAGTTTTGCAGCGGTTTCGTTGCGCTATTACCCGCGTCTCTGCCGTCGGCGAGAGCCCAGGCGGCGATGGAAGTGAGGCGAGAGCTGGGGACCTGAGAAGCAGCGCAGTCCCGCCGGCGTACAGCAGCAGTAACGCCTAAAGTGCCTTCGTTGGCTTTCGTGCCGCAAAGGTACGCCGTCGCCGAGCACGCGGAGTCCGCGATCTGCGCGTCCGTGCAGTACGTCTAAAAGAAAATTTTATTGAGAAGGCTAGATTTATCTAAAGCTAATAAAAACTCAAGGTTTTACCTTACTGAGACCGACAGTGGGAAACTTTTCAAATGACAGTTGCGCTTCTTCTCCGGTTCTTCCAGCGCGCTGGCCGAGCAAAGTGCGTGCGGCGGTTATCGTCGGCACCGACATGCCGTCCCCCAAGAACATGATGACATTACGAGCGGCTCTAGTATCCCCAGAGTACCCCTGGTGCAACCGGTCCTCGATTCCGGCTCGCGCCTCTGCCGCCCAATAGTCGGCAGTGATTTCAGCGGCCTCGGCGGCGTAGGCCGGTACGCCGTACTCGGATGTCGCGGCGTGATAGCGGTCGGAGCGAGCTCTCGCAAGGAGACAACAGAGCATAAGATAGAAGCGGGTCGGTAACATGGCGAAAGTTGTGTTAATAATTTCACTCGCGCTTATAAGAACTTTGGCGCAATCTTATCGGTTTAAAATTCAGGTATTCATAATCGCTTCATAAGCGCGGTCTTATTCTCGTGATCTAATCTTGCAGGTTATGACGCGACATGAATTGAATTGTCCCGCATGCTACATACTGCTATTTTACATCGGATAATTTATTAAACATCATATTGTCAGCGGCTGCAGCCACCTGTCCCCACTGGCGACACCCTTAATATTGAATAGATATTTATTATAGGTACCAAAATTGTCTAAAAGTTTAGAAAAAAATCTAGGCTATTTACACACCTGTGTACAGGCGTCGATAGCTCCAAGGCGTTCAAGAGAAGTCAGCTGTAGAGTTATGGGATCCGCAGAGTGGTTAGGTTCTCAGTTTTTAGCCTCTCATAATTATAATTAGTATTTAGTGTACCTTGTTAATATACTCTACACTACACAGATACTTTTGACACTTATTACATATAAATTTAAATACACATCTCAGATTCCACTAGTGTAATTGAAAATGTGCTCAACGTTGCAGTTATTGTCAATATACTGCAATATCCCCCCACTAAATAAATAATAGACCTTTATAGGTCACATTATTGGAGATTCTATAACCTTATTGAATAATCTACGTATTGCTGCGCAATTCGAAATTCAACTATTAAACATTTTATTCGAAGGCCGTGTTTATTTAATTTCAAGTACAGTCATTTGTTTTTTCAATACTTTTTGTTTTTGTAAAATTCTGGTTGTTTTTGGCGCTATAGATAAACTGATGGATTGACATAATACACAACACGTAGCAGTAACGAAGTGTATGAGCCTAACACGCCGTCCATCATTGGTTCAATCTACAACGAAGAATTAAAAACGATAGTAGAAGCGGATCCAACTCAAATGGAGCGATGGAGTAGCTAGCAACCAAGACTGCTCAATCGATCTTTCTCGTTCCTTCACCAGATGATGCCTACAAGCTACAGCTGGAAGCTCTTCGTCACCAAAAATACTCACTTTTTTAAGTAGGAAAAAAATTCAACATGACCCGAGAGTCAGTACAAAACGCTTTCGCCGACTTCATCGTCTCCCATACGGCATTACGGTGTTTTGAAACCGTTTACTGTGTTTTTAATCCGAATTACGGTGACACAACATTACTATTTAAAAATGTATTTATTGCTTTTCGAAGAATTCTCCGCGAAATTTGACACATTTTTCCATACGATGGAACCAATCATTGAAGCAACCATTCCATTCGGAAGTTTGGGTCTCCAAAATGGCCGTTTTGTAGGCGTCCACAGCTTTTTCAGGTGATAAAAATCTCTGACCACGCAATTTATTCTTTATTTTAGGGAAAGTATAGAAATCATTAGGGCTTAGGTCGGGGCTGTACGGCGGATGGTCTTATAATTCTATGTTTTCTTGCTCTAAAAACTCTTTTGTTCTGTGCGCGGTGTGAGAACTCGCATTGTCGTGATGGACGATGATACGGCTGTTGCAGTTCTCTTTACGAAGTTCAGAAACGACCTGTGGCAAACAAATGCTAGCATACCATTCTGAATTAATCGTTCTTTGTCCCTCAAGAGGAATAGTCGCAACATGGCCGATTTTGGAGACAAACGTGGCCACCATTTTTTTTGCAACACTCCGTCAACGAACAATTTTCGTTGGCATTAACTCATTTTCGAACACCCAAACTCGTGACTGGTTTTTTGTTTCGGGTTCGTACGCGTATATCCAGGATTCGTCACCTGATACGATGTTGTATACAGCATTTGAGGATCCTGCGTGGAATCTTTCGAGAGTTCTGACGCACCAAGTAACGCGAGCCGCTTTTTGCTCTTCACTGAGCGAATGCGGTATCCATCGGGAAAACAACTTTTTTACACCTAATTGCTAACGTTTTCTTGGTTGACTGCAGTTTTTGGACGACCTTGACGGGGATCATCATCTTGACACGTCCACGTTGAAATTCAGCAAACCAGCGATAAATTGTGGTTTTGGTTGGGGCTTCATCACCAAATGCAGAAATCATCCGGTCAACACACTGTTTTTGTGATAAACCACTTCGAAAGTCATAATAAATCATCGCTCTTGAATTATATATATTATATTATCGAGTCAATTCCATTTTCTCAACGACTAAACAAGTTTGACAAAACTTTGTGAAAAGACCGAGAATCTTTTTTAAAATAAATAAATGGTATTCGATTTATAAAAAAAAGGAGTTTTCAGTTAAAAAGATTTAAATATGACAGGAACAGTGGTATTATTCCATTCCCGATAATTTTAGTGTTGCCTATGTATAAACTTAAGGCGGAAACATACTACTAAAACGCGACGCTACACCACGCCATCCGACGCATGTCAGTACTTATCAATCCCATATATTTAATATGGTCAGGTGCACATAGACAACACGCCATGTGATCACACGCGGTAACATCCAATCGATTTGGATCAGCGTGTTGTCGTGTTGTTGACGCCAAGCGTCAAACGTTCGAGTTTTTGGCACAAATGTCAATTTATATACTTACATATTTTAGGATTTATTTATTTGGCGAAATGAACGACCAACAATAAATTGAGTTGGTGAAACAATATTCTGTTCTATATGACATGAGATTAGCTCAATACAGCGACCATACTGTGAGAAATAATGTATGGGAAGAAATAGCCGAACAAATGAATACAAGCGGAAAGTTTTAATAAAATATTATATTACAAGACTTTTGTATGAGTTGCAAGTTTTTAATTTTGTCTACCTTTCCTCACAATATCAAGCTGCCACGGAACGGCGCCTTCACCACCTAAATATTCCTTAAATTTGTTTCTTACTGAAAATGCATACTGTGTGGAATTTCTACGAATTGGATTTAAGTCGTGGTGTCGCGTGTTGGTAATGTGCACGATGGACATCGGGTGTCGACACGTTGCGTCGCGTGGCGTTTTAGTAGTATGTTTCCACCTTAATCGTTCTAACAGAAAGTTTATTATTCTTATCTCAGTTAATCAAAGGATCTATTATTTTCATGACAGTTTGTTTATACGATTACTGTAGAAGTCGGATTCGGAGTCGAATTCGAAGTCGGAGTCGAATTTGGATTCGTAACCGGGATTTTGAAAAGGTATTACACATGGCCATGAGTCGTTCTAAAATCTTTCTAGGAAGAATTACAAACAACGATTGTTTAAGTATCTACGTCTTTATTTGGTAGAAGTCGTAATTTTGGCAATAATAATAAAAACAAAAAGCATGTACTATTTGAGAGTGTAGCTGAAAGTTGTTATGATCGTGAACTGAGTCTGTGTTAGTTTTTGAAACCTCAAAGTCATACCAAGATAAGTAGTAATGCCTCTTGTTAATGCAGGATAGTATGAAAGTTAAAACTAATATCTTTTCTTTGAAAAAAAGGATTATAAATTAAACAAGGTGTTTCCTTGAACAGAGGTGTAATCGGAATGAATAAGCAATACTACAAACTAAAGCACGCCTTGTTCCTTATGTAGCAGATACGACGTCTGACGCCTAGTTTCCACTTGATAGTTTCAGGCGCTATGCACCAACACCTCTGTAGATTCAAAATCAAATTTGGCTAGTGTAATTTCTATGTGACTTGCGACTTTATATCTGGACAGTTTGACGATCTCAGAATAAGTGATAGTCGGTAATCACAGAAAGTGATATTATGATGACATAGGCACTCGTCTCATTCGTCGTTCAAAAATTGTTTTATCGGTTTATCCATCCATATGTAGCAGCGTATTATAGTTTTATATTTTGCATAGCATATACAGGGAAACTGTGCGGTCGAAATACTATTTGGTTGATAATGAGGTCAACTAAATAACAAATGTAATTTCGAGGTCAACTAAATAACAAACGTAATTTCGAGGCGGGTTTTACCCACCAACGCGTGTCTCACGCGTCGCAATTGATATCATGATATGGGCGAATCCCATCGGGTACACCCCGCCGCCCCTCAACCGAAATGGCGACTCCGTTATTGTTATGATAGTCAGTCGCAAAAAATTCGCCAACCGTACCAGACCTGTCGTGAGCAGTTTTTGTACCATTAGAGACTTTGGTTACATCAGGGAATCAGCCGCAACAATACAGAGATACAATGAATGTGAGTATCTACTTGTATAGAATATAGATGTTATTGTATGTTACATACCTACAAGCTGTGCATATGTTATTTAGACATACGATATTTTAGTAATTTTGATAAGATTTTTAATAACTCGTAAATGACCTTGATTATGTGAGTAAGCTTTGTCTTTTGCATACTGATGAAATCTTTGTTTTTATTAGATAAATAGAGCTGGGCTCGGCGAGTTCTGTGTAGTAGAATGGATCCAGGGCAGTAAAGCCGGTAGGCGTGACACGGTGTCGCGAGACTTAGTCGAGTTACAGCCTGACCGAGGACCTAGCGCCTGCAAAGTCCGTTCTCCATTTTCTAACCAGTATTCTCCTGCAGTTTTGCACTTTCATAATGGTAATATAGTTTCTAAATACGAGTATTATCTAGACATTCTATTCATCACCCTTTGCTTTAGATTTGGCGACATTTATATTTAGATTATTATAAAACAAATTTGATTGCTAAAAATGCATTATTTATATTTCTATAGACGATATCAAGTGTATCTCGATGTTCAAATTGCTGTCAACTAACACAGCGGCGAAGAACGCCGTGGTCCCGAGCGACAAAGCCTCACGAAAGCGCCAAGGACAGCGTTCGCCACCGGCAGTTCAGCGAGTGGGGAAAGGACATACAGGTAGGTACATCTCTTACAATTAGGGTTATATTTATATTTCAACAATCTGTGCTCGGTGACAGAGGAGTAGAGTTTGGCTAATGAAAGAAGATAATTGAATTATTTGAAAACTTTCGGATGGCAACACAGAATGTCATTGAATTTCTTAGGTTAGTATGATTTATTAATAATAATAATAAATCATTATAATAATATTTGCAAGAAAGTGGTACATTTATATCGATCAATTATAAAAATCCGCACAATCAGCCACACAAAAATAGGCATGCAAATGTCAGATTAATTTTCATTAGGTCATAACATCTGTCATAATAATAAGTCAAGCTATTTAATAATTATATAATAAATAATAAGCTAATATTTAGATAATTAAATGTTGTCAAACTTATAGGCCAAATATTCGCCCACGCTTTAAAAGCACCTTGACTTTAAAAACCTAATTCCCCTTGAAAACATTAGGTACATGGTAGCCATCTATAACTTCTAGGAAGGTGATTAAATATTCTTATAGCCATGCCGTAACAATTTTTGGAATATAGCGCGGTGCAACATGCAGGCACCCACAGCCGTGTTGGATCCCTCGGTATATAGATGCAAATTTCTTTAATAATAATAATAATTTATTTATTGCAAGAATATGGTACAAATGCTAAGGTGATACAATCATAAATCGTTCGCATATTCTGCCACACACGATGGCGCGCAAATTCGTCCCAAAGAATTTTACAATATTATTCAAAGCCAATTCCTATATTTAGTCTAGTCGACAAGTTGAAAATGGAACAAAATAGAGATACTGCTCTTAGAATTATGTGCGATAGCTCATTGGATCCGGAATGACGTCTAGAAAAATGTGCTAAAAGCGTGTATTAGCACATAAAAAATTGCAAAAGTTATAGACAATTAAAGATGAAAAAAAAAATGACATTTAGTTTTTTACCAATATTTAATAAACTATTAATATTTAAGAAATTTCAAATAATTTAATTAATCGTTAACTTTTTTTATTTAATTTAATTTTTTTTATTTTTTATTATCCAGCCTATTATATTATATACATTTCATCATTAACTTTATATCATTTACGGTGTTTCATGCAAATAATCATTTATTGAATAGTAAACTTTATCCAAAAGCAATTCACTAAGTCGCTTTTTAAAGAATCTAGACGGAAGATCTTTTAATTCTTTTGGTAATTTATTGTAGACTTTAATTGCCATATAAAAGCTGTTTTTCCGAAAAGTCAAAGTCAAAGTCAAAGTCAAATCGTTTATTTCAATTAGACCATCTAAAATGGCACTTTTGAACGTCAAAAAAAAAAATATAAAGATGATTCTAGTTGCCCCTTCCAAAAGGTAGTTTCGTGTGGAGAAGAATGGGCAAGAAACTCCACACTTACTCTTTTAAAATAGGTTTACAATATTTTGTTACATTTGTTAAATAATTATATGTGAAGACAATGTACTCTTAGAATAAACTACTATACTAAAAAAGTTAGTATACATGTTCCTCACATATTTACAAATATCGAAACCTTAGAATATTAACATTAAAGAGTAATAAAAATATTAAAAAAACACAACAAAACAGTGTGTGAGATACAAAAAAAATAATTACATTTGTAGCATTATATAAATTAAAAAAAAAATAATAATAATAATAATAACAAAAATTAACATATTTTTTTTTAGCAAAAAATCAGCAACCAATTTGATTTTGTCCAGGCTATAGAGCCAATCATAGGATTGTCCTATGGAGCAGGACCAGCATGTTTCCAAGCATTCTTATCTTGAATATAATCATCTAATTTGTAATATGCTTGTTTACAAAGTGTACTTTTAATAAAACATTTAAATTTTCGTTCATTTAGTTTTAAAATGTCACAAGGTATTTTATTGTAACATTTCACACAGTACCCCATAAATGAATTTTGAACTTTGGCTAATCTGAAAGATGGTTGAGCTATTTTATCTTTATTTCTAGTACTAAAATTATGTCTTTCATTTATTTTACTAAAAGATGTAGATTCTTTCTTACATACATAATATTTTCATAAATGAATTGGCAAGGTACTGTCATAATATTAATCTTTTTAAATAGTTCCCTGAGAGATTCGCAACGACGTAGATTATAAATGGCTCTGACCGCTCTCTTTTGCAAAATAAAAATGGATTCTATGTCAGCAGCCCGACCCCACAGTAAAATGCCGTAAGACATTATGCTGTGAAAGTAGCTAAAATAGACCAAACGCGCAGTTTCTACATTGGTTAAATATCTTATCTTTCTAACCGCATAAACGGCTGAGCTCAGCCGCCCCGCAAGAGATGTGATATGAGGTCCCCATTGTAACTTCTCGTCTAGCGTGATGCCTAGGAAAACCGTTTGATTAATAAATTCCAGTTTTCCTTCATTCAACATTATGTCACATTCCTTACTTTTAACATTTGGCAACGTAAATCTAATACATTTAGTTTTTTTATCATTCAGTGCCAAATTGTTTACCGTAAACCAATTTTGGACCCGAAGAATAGAGTTATTCACGTCGTCACGATTTTGTGACCGTCGATCTACTTTAAAAATCAATGATGTGTCATCTGCAAATAACACCATCTTCGGTTTATTCTGAACTAATTGGGGTAAATCATTTATGTATACTAAAAAGAGGAATGGACCCAATATTGAACCCTGAGGAACGCCCATTGTAATTTCAGACCCTAACGAGTTTATGCCGTTAACCTGAACTTTAACCTGTCTGTTTTTCAAGTAAGATCTTAGTAAGTCCAGAGCTTTGTTCTTAATCCCGTAGTGATTAAGTTTCAGCAGAAGAGTCTCATGGTTTACGCAATCGAACGCCTTCGAAAGGTCGCAAAAGATTCCAATGGCATCTTGTGCTTCCTCCCAAGCGTTAAAAATGTTCTTGATTAGGGAGACACCGGCGTCAGTTGTACAACGCCCTTTGGTGAAACCGTACTGTTGTTCATGAAAGATGGAGTTTTTATTAAAGTGACATAACATTTGATTGAGCATTAACTTTTCAAAAACCTTACTGAGAGCTGGCAGAATTGACACAGGTCTATAATTATTGGGTTCTTTACTATCACCGGATTTGAACAACGGAACTACTTTACTGTGTTTCATGAGATCCGGAAAGACTCCTTGGTCTATGCTGGTGTTAAATATGAAAGCTAAATAAGGCGCAATAGTTTCGATGATAGAACTACAGACTTTTACAGACAATCCCCAAAGATCTTCTGTAGATTTAATTTTAAGATCTTTAAAAGCTTTCATAACAGCCTGGGGGTTTGTATATTGAAATCGAAACTCCGTAGGGCATGCCCTTACATTCTTCGTAAGTAACGCAAAAGAAAGTGCGGATGATGAACTTAAAGCTTCGGTAGTTTTAAAGGGAATATTGATAAAAAAGTTTTCAAATTCGTGAGCTATTTCTGCATTTGAGTTTATTGGGCCATGTGCAGTCTCTAAGTTAAATTCAGTATTACGCTGTTTTTTTCTACCAGTTTCATTATTTATTATTTGCCAGGTAGTTTTTATTTTGTCATCCGCTGATTTTATTTTATTACTAATATACAGTGATTTAGCAATTTTGCACACACTTTTAAAAGTTTTTGAATATTTCGCAACATGCTGATGAAAGTTTGTATTTTTTACATGTTGCCTTAGGCCATATAGTTCAAAAAGTTTATCCCTGCTCTTACGAATACCTGGAGTCGCCCAATCACTAAATAAGAACTTGGTGTAAATACTTTTTGTCTTTTGTGGAACAATGTCATTAAATTGCGATTTTAACAAGGTAAAAAACTCCGCATAGAACTCATTAGGGTCCCAAATATTATTAAAGTTTTGAACACACAATTTACTGGTCAAGGTATTATTTAATTTCTCTAAATTTTTACATGTAATTGGCCTATACCTTATTTGAATTTTTTTGTACAGGTATGTAGGCACAAAACGTTATTGTTTGTCCACTGTGATCAGAGGGCAATTTATTAACAATTTCTTTATGTAAGTAATCACAATTACAAAAAATATTATCTATACAAGTGGCAGAAGAAGCTGTCACTCTAGTTGGTTCCATAAAAACATTAGACAGATTAAATGATTTAAAAAGACTTATTAATCTGATACTATTTGAGTTTGTTTCTAATAAGTTAATATTAAAATCACCACTTATGATGATTGATTTACTACTAGTACTAAGTTTTTTTAACACATCTTCCATTACAGAATCAAATACAGATAGATTCTGATAGCCCGGAGGTCTGTAAACACATACTACAACATGCCTATCGAGCTCGACACAGGACAACTCTATAGAATGTTCAACTGACAATCTGATAATGTCTTTCCTTTCTTTAGATTTAACAGAATTTTTGATTAATATTAATGATCCACCGTGTATCATACACTTCCGGCTGAAATAGCTAACTACACAATAATTTTCATAATTAATAGACATTATCTGATGATCATCTAACCAATGTTCAGTTAAACAAATAATATCGAACTTGGTTTTTTCTAAAAACATTTCTATTTCCAGTAATTTGGAAGAGCAACCTTGAATATTCTGATGAAATAATCTTAAAGTATGTTGCTTTCCTTTTGGTTTATTAAAACATGTTAAATTGCCAGAAGATACCTTTTTATTATCCACAAATAATAATTGATTATTTAAACGGTTAACTTCTGTTGTCTTACAGCCTAGTTTAAAGTACTATCCGGAGTGACCTCTACAGTTGTAGAATAACCTAAGGTATGTGTTCCAGCAGGAAGAGTATACTCTATCTGACTGGTATTGGCCTCCAAGTATGTTGGTATTATAGGTGGACCCTCCTTCGTACAACATAAAGATATATTATCAATCACTGTGTTGTTAGTGTAACTAGGCAACACAGTCTCGTCACTAATCCTAGAATTTGTTATATTAGCTATAACCTTGTTAATATTGTATGCTATTAACATAGCAATCAACCGTCTACATTCAAAAGACAGAGATAAAGTTCTCTGAGTTAACTTAGAACCACTAATAAACTTATTAGTGTCAAAATATAATAATTTGTCACTATGACGACATGTCAACATGTGAATAGTATTATTCAATTTAAAAATATGATTATTTTCAACCTCTGACAGAGTATCAGAGTAGGGAAAAGCACATAACATCAGCTTTCCTATGTTTAATTTTAATAAGGTGCTGACACCATCCACTATGTCCTTTTTGGTAATACCAATGCTGTTACCTAGTAATAAAACTAAGGCAGAATAATTGTCCAGGTTTGAATTTTTAATTTGTTTAATTATTTGTTTAAAACTTATGTTATGGTAACTATGATTGGTGAAACAGTTCCAGATTGATTTTTGGCACAGCCAAATTCTTCCCATGTCTACTTCTACATTCGACTTAAAAATATGTATGTTTCTGTGCACGAATAAGGATATCTCTAAAATATAAATACATGGAAGAGATAAAATTTTGAGCTTCTTAAATAATGGGAATTAAAGTTATTGGTCTATAATTAGTCATTTTTGTTTTTGCTCCTTTTTTATGTAATTGATATTTTTAGTTTTTCAGGAAAGATTCCTTCTACTATCGATAGATTAATTATGTATGTCAGTGGATCAAGTAGGTATAAAGCGCATGATTTAATTGTTTTGGTATCTAAATTATCGTATCCTGTAGATTTTGTATTTTTTAGCGATGTAATAATTTTTAATATATCCGTGTTATTTATGGGGGGAAAGAAAAATACTTTTATGATTTAGAGGGATTTTGGCTTCTGGCAAATTGTTTGTTTTATTTTTTGAAGGCAGTGAGGTATAATAGTCATTAAATAAGTTGCATATTTCATGTGGTGATTCATATGTTTTGCTATCAATATTAATTGCTTCTATTCCTGAATAAAATGTCATGTCTCGTGTATTTGTTTTAATTACATTCCAGGCTGCTTTAGTCTTGTTTTTTGCGCAATTTATGTATTCTACATTAGTAAGCTGATGGGACTTATGTATACATTTTTTAAAAATAGATGTGTATTTATTATATGCAGATTTATTTTGTTTTTTATTGTGCTTATTTAAATGATATTTTAGGTATAACGTTCTTTTTCTTATACAACATTTTTTTAGCGCTTTAGTAAAGAATCTATTTTTGATAGGTTTGAATGTATTTTTAATTTTTAAGATCGGAAAACATAAATTGTAAAACAAAGTTATAGTGTCATGGAAGTTGTCGAATGCTTCATTTGTTGTGGTGGAGCTGTATACTTCCGAGAAGGTGAGGCTTGATAGACACCTAATAAATGTATTAGTGTTTTCCCTATTGAGTTCTCGTCTGTATATATACCAGTATTTTGGAATATCTTTAAAATTTTCGTTTTCTTCGAGTGTAAAAGTCAGCGATTGTGCGGTCTCATGGTCTGAAAGTGCCAAGTAGTGGAGGTCCGAGTGTGTGTCATTTATGTTACTTGCTATTAAGTCTAAGCAAGAGTTTTTCCGTGTTGGGTGCTTTACATGATTTTGTAAATTATTATTTTGAAGAATAGAGATAAGTTCGCGGGAACTTTTATTATTTTTTAAAATGTCTATGTTCCAGTCTCCACATAATATTAGTTTTTTGTTGAGTTTCCTGCATAGGTTACTTAAAAGTTGTTCTAAATTATATAAAAAACCTGTTACATCTAAAGTAGGAGTCCGGTAAATACATATTATTATTAAGCTGTATTTACTTATTTCAACGCCACAATATTCGAATTGGAGAGGAATTGGGGGTCTAGGGTAACAAATTTCCTTGTATTTCAAATTGTTTTTTATTAAGATGCACGAACCTCCTCGGCGTCGATTAGGTCGAGAATATGAAGAGACTAATCTATAATTATTTATTTTAACGTTGGATTCACTTCCTTGTTTAATAAAAGTTTCTGTGAAACATATGATGTCCACACTTCCCAAACTTCCTTGCAGGTCCGTGATGGCTACACTAACTAAATCCTGTTTGCTAAGCAACCCTGCTATATTTTGATGGAGTAATCTTAATTTATTTTGCTTATTAGTTGTTACGAAAAAAATTACAACTGGAAGGCTGGTTTTTATTTGTAATATTGGTACCTGACATTTTAAGAAAATTTGTTATTTTTAATTGTACAGTGTGAGTTGACTTGTTTGTGTGACTATGTTGCACGCTGGATTTATAGTTGAGATTTGTCTTATGCTGTGTATAATATCGAATGTACTCAATTTCCGTGTTTATTTTATCACATAAGTTGAAGAGGTGTTTTGTATGAGAATAGGGTGTGTTTTTATCGTACTTCGAGTGACGTATTTTTAAGTAGTGGCAATATGTATAATTAGATATTATAGATTCTAGATGAAAGTTAATTAATTTTACATTTAAGTGAGTATTATATTGTACATTGGTTATAAACACCTTTTGCTGTCGCAATTGGTATAACACATTACACAATTGTGAGATATATGTTTTATATGTTTTAAATAATTTTGGATGCTTCTTTACAGGCATAACTGCTTCAAAGATATACAAACTTGGTACTGTCAGAATACCGAGTTCGTGAAAAATTGGTCTATTATAAGAGGTCCAACGCCCAACTAATAGGTACATTTTTTCTGAGTAATAAAAACTTTACTCACATCTACCGAATTTCCCCATAAAACGATTCCATAGCGCAAAACTGAGGCAACATAGCCATGATAAGCAATTATTGCTGCGTGTTTTGAAGCCACTTTGCGATACTTTATTATAAAAAGATTTATTATTATTATTCCAGACTTAGGCCGTGGTGGGCCACGTGACTCGACGGACGAGCTTCGGTACATCGTGGTAGAAGCATATGATTCTTTGCCTCAACAGTACGCTTGTGTGCCGAGGAGCTGGATAAAAGCAAGCACCGGCACTAGCCTGGCCGCCGGCGCCTCCTGTATGGAGGCTTGGCCGGCCCAGATGAGCGGCGCTAAGGCAGACATGGAGGAGCTTGGCTCTAGGGCTCGCCTTGGTCACTCGCCCTCGCCCAAGTGGGGTTTGCGTCGCTTCAACTGCGTGCACGCCACAGGTATACAAACGAATAATATCGAATAATTAATATTGATACAATTATATCCATTTAATATTTTTGTAATTAGTACTTACATAGTTGTAAAGATGCCGTCTGTTTTTTGTGCAGCTAACTATGACGCTGGCCAGGATTGGATTCGGACGATGACAAAAGGTCAGCCGATTTACTCAGGTAATCAAATTTTTTATAAAAGAGGTGTAGAAAGCAGGAGTCTTACTCGATGTTAAGTGATCCGCCCATGGACACGACACCCGAAGCTGGCAAGTGAGTTGCCAGCCTTATAGTTTATACGCTCTTATCTTGTAGGACCTAAATCTAATTGATTCAGAAATACTCCAGTGGGTAGCTGGTTCCGCATAGTGGTAGTGCGCGTCAAAAAGACGGACGGAAACTAAACGGTCCGGTATTCTGTCTCGACTTCCGATGGTGAAACTCAGCAGCAGATATTAATGCGAACAACTCTGAATATTCCCCATGGTAAATGCGGAAGAAGATGCAGAGAGACCGCACATATCTTCGCAACACAAAGGGATCAAGCCGCTCGAAAAGTAACTTGGTGTCGACGATTTAATTCGCCCATCGTTGAATACGGTCAAGTGGAAAGAGCTCGTCCTGCTCGTTACAACTCTGGCGAAAGCTTTCAAGTACAGAGCAGTAGCTTCCAAACTTCTAAGAGGCTAATTTAGCCTTTCCTTCTAAATAACTGCGAAGCTAAACGTCGTTTGATTTGTCACCGCCCAGTGCTCCGATGCTAGCTGAGGCTTTAAGGAGAGTGTTTTCGAAGAGAGGAGTGGCGACAAAGGTTTCAATTAATCTCATTGACTACTCAGTTTAAAACACTCCTCAGACTCATCCAAGTGTCGGACAGTATGACAATAAATAATCAAGTCATCTATAAAAATTTGTTTAATTTAGGGCATAAAGCATTCTCTCGCATCTTCTCGACCTTCCTTTAGAATCGCCGATTTATGTTTCAGGTGACCCTCGTCCGGCCAAGGTTCCCCGCATTTCCGACTCTTCTCGCCGCTTCACCAGCCTTCAGCTTACCAACACGCCACGACCGTCAATAAGCGCAGTCGTCAATGAGCTCCATGAAATGTCAGTCTGTCATGACACAGACGACTGCTCTTCATTCTTGCCGGCGCAGTATAATACAGAAGAGTTTCGAAAACTTATAACAACATATCATCGTATCCCGAAGCGGCAACGACCCGCGAATTCTGTACCAGATCATACGGCCGCACCTACACCAGTTCTCGACTCACTCGCTAATCTTCCCTACTTAGAACCTTTACGATCTACCTCAATCCGTGAAAACTCCTCTTCTGCTGCTAGAAAATCACGTAAAACTACATCGTTTTCTACTTCAGCGAAAGTTATGTTTTCCATAATCGCGCACCAGCACCGTCTATCCCGTCATTTTTTGCACCATCTAATCGCGCACCAGCACCGTCTATCCCGTCATTTGCGTCGACTTCAGTGCCTACCCCCCTGCCACCATCTAATCGCGTACCAGCACCGTCTATCCCATCATTTGCGTCGACTTCAGTGCCTACCCCCCTGCCACCATCTAATCGCGCACCAGCACCGTCTATCCCGTCATTTGCGTCGACTTCAGTGCCTACCCCCCTGCCACCATCTAATCGCGCACCAGCACCGTCTATACCGTCATTTGCGTCGACTTCAGTGCCTACCCCCTGCCACCATCTAATCGCGCACCAGCACCGTCTATACCGTCATTTGCGTCGACTTCAGTGCCTACCCCCCTGCCACCATCTAATCGCGCACCAGCACCGTCTATACCGTCATTTGCGTCGACTTCAGTGCCTACCCCCTGCCACCATCTAATCGCGCACCAGCAACGTCTATCCCGTCATTTGCGTCGACTTCAGTGCCTACCCCCTGCCACCATCTAATCGCGCACCAGCAACGTCTATCCCGTCATTTGCGTCGACTTCAGTGCCTACCCCCTGCCACCATCTAATCACGCACCAGCCACCTCTATTCCGTCATTTGCGTCGACTTCAGTGCCTACCCCCCTGCCACCATCTAATCGCGCACCAGCAACGTCTATCCCGTCATTTGCGTCGACTTCAGTGCCTACCCCCCTGCCACCATCTAATCACGCACCAGCCACCTCTATTCCGTCATTTGCGTCGACTTCAGTGCCTACCCCCCTGCCACCATCTAATCGCGCACCAGCAACGTCTATCCCGTCATTTGCGTCGACTTCAGTGCCTACCCCCCTGCCACCATCTAATCACGCACCAGCCACCTCTATCCCGTCATTTGCGTCGACTTCAGTGCCTACTACGATACAGTCTACTGCTGCTTCAGTCCCTTGTAGCGAATTATTATCTTTTACTTCAGCTATCTCTCTACAATATGTCTCACCAGCCACCTCTACTCCTTTACTTCCCTTAATTCCTTCAACTTCAGTAGTGACTCCCTCGCAAGCTTCTACTTCTGTAGACCACACTTCTACCACCGTTTCCTCTTCCATCGCTCGCACGACACTTCCTAAAGCCCAATCTCCGTCTACCACGACGCGAGCCGAACCTAACTCGTCACAAATTATTACTAAACGGCAGATTCGATGTGAATTCATTAAATTAATAAGTAAAATTACTGAACTAGATGAAGATTTAGAAAAAATGTGTAACAGTACCGTGAAGGGAATTCATTCGAGTGCTTTGAAATTTCAAGAATCTATGAAACCTTTTTACAATTATTGTTTATCAAAAAACAATGACGTCGCCGTAGAAGCAAATTAGATTTAGCTAATTGTTTTACTTAGGCTCGATAATGATTATACTACTAAGATAGTACGGTTCCAGGTCAAGTTCCGGGGTGCTTTAAATAATAGAGGATTTTATTTTTACTCTATAATTATACACTCCGTACAATAGAATATGCGAAATGATGAAATGTTAATTGCTATGAAAGGAATGAATGCAATAATGTACACTATAAATTTTTGTGACAAGAATATAAAGAATTTTAGAAATTGAAAATTGAGTGGGATTCGTGAAAACGATTTGGGATTTCGTGACGCTTATAAAACTAAGAAAGCCCGACTGAGCAAAATGTACAGCTCGGCTCGGCTCTAACAAAGATTAAAAATAAACTCTCAGATATTTTAATTTTTTTATTTTTAGACATCCCTCTTACACTATCCCTCGGAATACTAACATCGAACAAGATGGAACTATTGAAAACCCGTACATCACACATTAATACGTAAGATCATCATAATACCATATACCTATATATATAAACTTATCAATAGAAATCGTAATATTTAACGATCGTGTCATGATAGAGATACATATTTTATAGGAGAATAATTTGTACACAATATTTATTGAAGTAAAACTTCTTAAGGCGCGACTAGGGATTAACTCACATTTTTTTTTCTGACGGAAGTAACGCTTACTATAGTTTGTGTAGTTTCCGCTATTTAAAAATAACAACGATAGCGCATTTTATAAGTCCGTCAGCTGATTTAAGTCAGTATCTTGGTAGTGTTTATTTATTCACTCATTTTATTTGATACTGATTCTTGTAATTATGTTATTATTAGTATATTTATATTTAAAATGAAAATCCATACTAGTTACATGTGAAATTCCACTAAAGAGGGAAGGTTCCCATCCTAGCTTGCTTTTCTTTTGTTATACATACGGCCAGTTTTTTTGGCTTAATTTCGTATTTTACCATTTTGGAAGAAGTAAATTAATACCAAATTAATTATCCTAAAAATCTGGTCTATTTTATATAAAAATACCAAAGTTGTATAAGAGAATAGCAAAGTAAATTTAAAAAAAAATGCCGCAGTTTAAAAAAAAAATTAAATTGCACTTGTTTTTGAAAATATACTTATTGATTTATTACTTTTAAAATAAGTAAATTAATAATAAATAATTTCAATGATATAATATGCCGTCAACGCCACACAAGTTTTACTTCAATCGCGCGTAAAGGTTACACGCACACACTTTTTTTATTATTTTACATTTGACATAATTTATCGAGGTGTCCCTCGATTACCTACGTGCGAGACGTACGAGGAGCGAGCTAGAGCTTGCTGTGCGCGCCCTTGCGAGGCACCGGCGCGTAGGGCGCGGGCAGAGGCCCCAGGCCTCGGCGGCTCTTGAACTCCAGCAGGTCCGTGATGAGGGCGGGCTGCAAACGGCCGACTCGTTTATCACGGCGGTTCACCGCTTTAACATAATCGGAAACGAGCGCTCACCCGCCTACGCGCGTCCTCGGGCGCTCGAGTCGCGTCTTCGCCTTCCGCGTCCGCGCTTTCGCCGTCCGCGTTTCCGGCCCCGCCTTCCGCCACGGACACCACGTGGACGGACAGCTTCCGCGCCTCCGGCGACGAGGAGTGGACGTGTCTCTGAAAGCACCCGACCGACGCGTCAAGAGCGGCCTCGAGGAGGAGGAGGAGACGCGAGGAGGACGCTCACCGAGTAGAAGTCGAGCAGCTCCCGCTTGGTCACCGCGTTCAGCTCGTCCACCTCCACGCGCGCTCGCTCGAAGTTGTACATCTGGGGACACGACGTCGGCTGAGCGGAGAGGTCTCGGAGCGAATCGAAAGACGAGAACCGAAAAGACGCGTCACCTGCGACGTGATCTCTCCCCAGACCCGGCCGGCCTTCTCCGACAGCCGCTTCGGCCGCTCCAGGCGCTCCGCCGCCAGCGACGAGCGGTGCTTCAGGAACTCCTCCTCGCTCATCTTCTCGAGGTAGTCCCGCGCGGAGTCCAGGAAGGCGACGATGCGGGAGTCGAGGTGGGCCGGGTGGCGGTCGCCCTGCACGATCACGCGCAGCCCCTGCGCGCCCGCCGAGCGCCGGACGCCGCTGAACACGATGTAGCCGAGCTGCTCCCGCGTGCGCAGCGCGTGGAAGCAGGGCTCGCCCACCACGTGCGCCAGCAGCTCGAGGGTCACGTTGGCGCGCGACGAGCGGCCGCCGCACGACAGGTACACGGCGGCGCACGACGAGCGGTGCACGGAGTGCGGCCGCGAGCACAGGTGCCACGAGCCGGCGTCGAGCTCCACCTCGCGCGACGGCGTCAGCTGCGCCGCCAGCAGAGGCACGGCGTCCTCCGGGAACCTGCGAACGGAAAGGTCAGACCGGGAACCGGGGGAGAGGCGATCGACGAGCGCGACGGAACCTCACGTGGCCTCGAGGTGCGCGGCGAGCTCCAGGGCGGCGCTCCGGCTCACGTTGCCCATCACGAGCGCCTCCAGGTGGAGGCCGCGGCGCACGCGCGACACGAAGTCGTCCAGCATCTCCGGCGTAAGGCCTGGGGACGCGACGGGGTCGTTAGGCTTTCGGGTCGGGACGGGGTCGCGGGGACGAACGGGACGCGACACTCACGCCGCGCGGCCTCCAGCAGGTCTCGGCGCGTCCACACCTCGGCGGACAGACACAGCGCCTGCGCGTACACGGCGTGCTGCGGGCGCACGACAGGTTCGTTAAAAGGCTCGTCCGAGTCGACCGAGGTCGGCGAGGGTCGGCGAGGGCCCACCTGGTAGGGTTGCTCCGCGTCGAAGTTGGCGAGGGCTCGCAGGTGCGCCTCCTTGAGGATCTCGAAGCGGCGCGGGTCGACGCGGAACGACAGCAGCGCCTCCGCCACCCGCCGCGTCAGCGCCGGCAGCCTGTCGTCGAAGCCCGCCGCCGTCACCTGCGCGGAACGGACGCGTGATCGGCCGTCGGAGGCGGAAGGGGGCGGAAGGCGGGCCGGAAACTCACGTTGATCGAGCGCTTGGCGTTGGCCACGCCCCAGCGCAGCGAGGCCAGCTCGGCGGCGTACAGCTCCTGCTGCAGCGCGTCCCGCAGCAGCGCCGCCCACAGCGCCGCGAGGCCGGCCGCCGTCGGCGACGAGTACAGCAGCGGACTGGCGAACTCCAGGGTGATGAACGCTTTCGGCAGTCGGAACTCGTCGTCCCGCTTGTACCACACGCGCATCAGCGGCGTGTCCTGGAACGGCCGGCCCGGGTCAGCGGCTCGGAGCTCGAGGCGGGAGGACGTCCCGGCGAGGTCTCACCTTGACGATGAGCGGCGCCGCCTGGCCGGCCGTGGGGTCGTCGTCTTCGATCATCGTCAGTCTGCGGGGGATGAACTCGTTGGGCGGCGGCAGATGCAGCTCGGCGCCGCCTCGCGCCGTCCGCCATTTCTGGAACGGAATCGCAGTTGACGGACGGGGACGCGCGCGCGACGCTGGCGGACCCGGAGACGAGGGCGTACCTGAAGGGTCTCGTCGTCGATGTCCTCCTGTAGATACTTGGTGCCGTACCAGGGCTCCGTCAGAACGCAGCGGTCGGCGAAACGTCTGCAATTTGTCGTAAAATATACGTTTTAAACTCGACTAGAACTCGTCGCTAGGCTCGGTATCGGATAAAGTCACTCGCTTGGCGACGACGGCCAATCTGACGCGGTCCGGCGTGAGCAGCTCGAGCGTCTCCCGGATGAGGTCCGGCCGCCACTCCGACAGCAGGTACTGCGCGCTGAGCACCTCCTCCGTCGGGTACTCCTGAAACGAGGCGGGCGAGGCCGTTCGTGAGCGAAATCGCAAAGGTGAACGTCGCGACGAACGAAAGGCACCTGCAACTGATGCGCGTGCGCGTGGGCCAGCGTCCTCGGCTCGAGCGCGTCGCGAAAGCGGAACTCCAAGGCCGACAGCTCGCGCTGCTCCTCCCACACCCACCGCTGCTCGCCGACCTCGCGAAGCATCGCCAGGTACTGCGGACAGAGACGCACGCGATAGCCGCGATCGGCCGACGACCGGTGGGTCCGGTTCGGTCGGGTCGGGCGGTCACCTCGAAGAGCAGCGCCACGACGTCGTCCGAGTGCTCGACGCCCTCCTCGGTCAGGTCCACTTGCACGCTGAAGAAGCCGAAGCCGCGGGCGCCCAGGCGGCTGCCGCCCACCAAGCTGGCGAACGAGAACACGTTTCGGAGGCGGAGCTCGTCTCGGACGCGCGCGCGTCGATGACGGAACTCACCTGTTGCACCATCCGCGAGCCTTCAGCGCGGCGAGGAGGCTGCCCGGCCCCTCGTGGCCCAGCAGGTGCGACAGGTACTGACTCGGCTGCGACGGGCGAATCGTGTCAATTCGATATTAGCTCTGACGATACACGTACGCGCACCGACCGGACGACCGCTGAGGAAATATTACACAGAAGCGGAACGACTGAAACCGTATGACATTTCTCTGCATTTATGATATTCACTATTTGTGTTCTCGCGTCTTTAGTACAGTTTGTTCCACGAGTTCCGCGTTTTTAATGTAATATTTCCTCCGTAAAAAACGAATTAACTCCAGATTAGGCCTGGCCTACGCGTACGCGTATCGGCGAATTAAACGGGAAGAACGCCCTGCGCCTCCCGTCCCTCACCCCGCTTTTGTAGTGCCGACGGAAGTCGGGAAGGGGGAAGTCGACGGACAGCGAACGCAGGTCCTTGACGGGCTCGCAGTAGGCGCGCTTGCGCAGGCAGTCTCGGGGGAAGGGGGACTCGTCCCAGCGGGGAGGGGACGCGCCGTTCGCCTTCACCGCGCCGAACAACTCCGACACCAACGCCTCCAGCTCGTCCGTCGACTCTGTCGGCGCGATCGAGGAGCGGTCAACGAGAGAGTCGGTCGAGAGTCGGTCGACGGCGCGACGGAGGACGCACCTCTCCCAACGACGACGAGCGCCATGATGTCGGCGGAGTACCACCGCGCGTGGAAGGCGAGCAGCTCGGCCCGCACGTCGACGCCCTTCCGCCGCGGGATCGTCTCCAGCGTCTCCCGGTTACCTGCGGCGACGAGGCGCGTCAGTCGAAGGACGACATCGCGGGGAGCGCGAAGCGAGGTACCGACCGGTGCCGAACTTGTGGTACGGATGTCCGGGGTCCGCCGTGCTCTTGTTGAGCTGCTCGAGGCGCCAGCCGTCCGACGCGCGGTTCTTCTCGTGCTCCGAGTCGACGGCGCTCAGCTCGCGGCCCGTCGCGCTCTCCGTGAACAGCGGCGCGATGAAGAACTGCGCGAAGCTGCAGAGGAGAGGAGGGCGCGAGGTGAGCGAGGGCGATAGGGGGCGAAAGGGGCGATTCGGCCGAGCGGTACGAACATGTCGAGGGAGGCGCCGAGGTGCGACGGCAGCACGTCGAAGTAGAACGTGGTGTGGTCGGCGGACGTGCTCGCGTTGGAGGAGCCGCCGTGCTCCGACAGGAATTTGCTGTACTCGTTCTCCTACCGAATAGAAGTCGGAAAGTAATACCCGGTTTTAAAAGAGAACGTTCGACATTAAAATGGCGCATCACCTGGGGATATTTCTCGGTGCCCAGAAAAAGCATGTGTTCGCAGAAGTGCGCCAGCCCGGGCAGCTCCTCGGGATCGCTGAGGTACCCTGCCACAACAGTTCGATTCGTCACACGAGTGGTCCGAGAGGGCGCGGCCGAGCGTGATACGTACCGACGTTGACGTCGAGTGCGGCGGCCGCCTTCTCGGTGTCGGGGTCGCTCACCAACAACACCTTCATGCCGTTTCCCAGCTGCAGTCCCCTGCAATTTTTTTTTTATTACATATATAAATTGACATACACACAAAAATATAAAAAGCACCGTCCCTATAACATGTGGACACGACCATAAAATTAAAAACTAAAAACTATAAGAGAATTAAACTATTTGAACCTAGAAAAGAAATTATTCTGGAGATAAAACCAGAGAGCTTTGAGGATAAAACTTAGTGAACTATCCATAATGACACCCAAATCTCTTATGATTTTAACTTCTTGAAGTTTTTGGCCCTTTATGCAGTATGTTAATGGTGAAGATTTCTTTATTTTCGAAAATTAATCATAATAATAATGAATCAAAAATTAATCATAGCACATCATCGCTTAATTTTGTAAGTTTTCATATAAATGTCTGGCCATCTCGCTCGGCTCACTTTATTTATTTACGTGTTTAGAAAGATCATACCGGTATACTCTCTTGTCCTCTGGACTCTTGATGATTTTCTCATAGCGGCGCAGCACTCTGTCTACTCCGGTGGCAGGAAGAGCGCTGCCTCCGGAAGATGGCGGAGTGGCCGGAGTGCCCGGGGCGCGACCCAATGCCGCCTCCGGCATATTGTGCTGCGCTCGGCTTGTTTGCCAACTGCAACATTATTTGTATATATTATGAATGTAAATAAAACTGCATGTGCACATTTAAGCATCTATTCATAGAGTGAAGTATCAAGCGCGTGGGTACCTACATTTCTACACAACATATTTAAGACTTCCAACATAAAAACTATACTATAATCTAAAAAAATATAGAGCAAGTACATAAATATATAAAAAAATAAGCAATTCAAAGAATATAATATAGTTAATTCTCTTAAAATGTACACTGATTTTGTTATATTTCACCCATAGAAGTATTATTTAACTTCTCGGCCCACCAATCTGAGTTGGGTGTTTCTATAAAATTTTCACATTTATTTCCTTTATTTACCCTTTCCAATTCATCACACACACTTGTTCCACAATTGCTGTTATCTGAAGCAGAGTCCATTTTTTTTGTTGGTCTTTGTTTCCCCTCTCATTCTGTTCTTTAATTTGTTTTCCTGTAACTTTAATTAACTGATCTAATCTCTGACTCATTGGACCCACTTATAATAACAATGAGAAGCAAGACGACTAAATGAGTGTCTTAAGTGCAGAAATTTAGTCCACAACACACTACATTACATTATCCATATGAGAACAGCCACCCTACCCCGTTTGCAGCATTCCTGCCAACAATGAAGTCATCTTTAAGAAATACCCAGATTGTCTCTGTAACTGTCATTTGTATATGCGGAATCTAAATCAAGTGCTGTGAAATATTTCTCCCTTGCTACTGTAGCAAATGCTTCATTTGCAGTTGGCAGCAGATATGTATCCGTTTCTATTGCCTCATTGACAGTACTCCATCACCACAAAACCGCAATCTTATTTCTCCTTATTCCTTCACAGTAAGTACAACAGGTGTAGCCCCCTCAGATAAAGCTTTTTTCTTCTTTTATATTAGCCAGTCTGTAAGATTTAACTCGGTAACACTGCTGGAGAATCGGTCCATGTCTTAAGACATAATTTACAAAGTTGTAAAAACACATTGGTTGTATTTGAGGTAATATATTTTCAACTTTTTTTGAACTTAATTAGTTATAGAAAAACATTCTCCAGTGTCAGTTTGAAATTGTCTAGGTATACCATCCACAATAAGACAAACCTTGTATAGTGGTATACATTTTAATCATTCTATCATATTGTAAATGCCCTTTGAATCATAACCATGTTCACAAATCTTAAGATCTTTTACAGCACTTTCTGAAGACAAAAGAGCATCCACATTCTAATTGTTGCTATGTTTTAAAAACTGATACTGTAATTGTTCATTAATCATTTCACAAACAAATCTGACTCTCTGTATGTGTTATAACTTATTAAAATTACAGCCTATATGCTATTGATGCTTTAAGGATGATTGAAATCAATTAATAATAAATGTCTATAAAAACATTTTCAGTAATTTATTTTTTGCTTAACCTTAAAATTACCTGACCTAAGCCAACAAAACCTGGAATCTAAGTTATTATTTTAAATTTTTACCTTTTAGTAGTCCTGTTAAGATTGCGCCTAAAGGATATTCTACAAAGTCCAGTTATGAACAAACGTCTTGAAGCCAGCTTGTGCCTTAAAGAAAAACAAGGTCAGTGGTTCCAATAGCACGATATCGGACAAGGTAAATTTAAAGTGAACCCAATTAGATGCTGTTATTATTATTATTTAGGCCCAATCATTAAATGTTATCTACTGTTATGAAATTGAAATACGGACTTGCTATATATATATATATATAGTCGTATTTTTAATTAGACGAAGTCAACTGACATTTACCGTGTTGTCATTTGTCAGTTTTTGATAAAATAAAAATAGTGATGTGACAAAGTGAATTATTGAAAAAGTTTAGAAATTTAGTGTGCCGAACTGCTGAACCGATATTGGGTACGGGGTTCGAATTTTAGTCGTGCTTTGTACATATCAACGACGACGACTATGTTCTAATAGTATCTACCTATACTAAATACCGAGTGTTTTAAACATTAAGGAAAACATTGCAAGGAAACTTGTAAGACTGTCCTATTTTCAATACATCATGTCGTTGAAACTATAGATGTATAAAATATAACAATTATAGGTAGGTAATGAAAATAAAAAAACATCGCTTATTACATACTTTGTTATTATTCATCATCAGATAAAAAATCATCACTGTCGCTTTCGGTGATATTAATTATAAATCTGTCTGTAACATTTTCGATCATGTGGTCGAGACCCATTTTGTCTTCTACACGCAGCTACTCCATTTTTCAAGTGTGATATGTTGAAGTCCTTCTTCAAAAAGTTTTTTTACTGTCATTTTAAAGGTTTTGTTATTTCTTGCAACATATTCTTTAGCGCCCATACGAACTCAATGAGATTGAGCACACAGTGGTTAACTTGACAATTCAAAAGTGTACTTGGTTACCCACTTGAATAAAGATATTTTGAGTTTGAGTTTGGAATGAAGGCAGACGTATAACAATAATCCCATGCTGCGCAAGTAACTTATATCAGAGCACTTTTATACAATTTTATTGTAAAATAGAAATAATATTCCTTTATAGTTTGAAATGATTAACTATTCAAACTCATTGTTCATTCATGTGATTTAACCAGAACTGAGCTAATTACTAATACTTTAAATATGGCAACATTATTTTACAAAGTGACATTAGCTACTGTCAGTTGGCTTCGTCTAATATAATATTATATAGTCGTATTTTTATATATATATATATAGTATAATGGTATCGATCGCTTATACGAGTACTGGGGATAAATAAGGCGCAACTGCGTTTCTCTGTGAATACAAAAGATTTATTTACAAAAGAAATATCTATCAATTTACATTTAATAAAAAATATATATTTACAAATATTTCACTCACCTGTGAATACAAAAGAAACAACATTTAAAGCCTATATTCTAGGTTTTATAAAATAAAATAATATAAAGAAAAAATTAAAACATCTTACATCTATTATGTCAAGTGACAAATAAAACATCGTCGATCAGACGGCCAAGAAGAAAAATAAAATATAAAAAGAGTTTGTATAGGAAAATATTAAATATGTTTTCCTTACATATACTGCTCAAAACAATTACGGGAACAAAACTTTAAAGTAGAACTAAACTTTTTACTTAAGGTTTTAATTATTACTGGCCACTAGATAATGTTAAGGCATTGTCGAAGAAAATAAAAAACAAAAGAGCATCGGCGTTTTGGTTAGTAGTCCTATAATAAAGTGGCAGTGTGTCTAGAAACACATTGACGTCTTTGAATTTTCATTACTTTCTAATCACAGAAAACACATTTTAAGTAGTTTTTTTCAATCTTTTGAGTATTAATAGAAATTGAAGTGAGCCTTTTGAGTATTGTTATTCATTGAAGCGAGTGAGTTTAGGTCATAATGTCAAATCTGACTGAATTGCATGTCTCCCGAGCTATCGCTTTGCTTGAAGAGGGTCGAACTATGCGTTATGTAGGAAATGATCTAGGAGTAGCCCCTTCTGTTATCTACAGACTTTGGAAGCGATACCGTGAGACGGGAGAATACTCACGAAGGCGTGGTCAAGGTCGAAAGAGAAAAACTACACGTTTGCAAGATCGCTACATCGTCAACTGTGCTTTACGTAACCGCACCACAACTGCAAGAGATCTACAAAATACACTAAGGACGGCTACTGGTGTAGAAATTTCCGACCAGACGGTAAGAAATAGGTTGTTGGAAGCCAATTTGACATCACGCCGACCAGTTCGGGCTGTGCGTCTAACAATTTAACACGTTCACTGCGACATCATTTTATAAGAACTTTCAGCTGGTGCGTTGGAGACCTAAAAGATCTCGTAACAAGCCTATCCTCTGGTGCGTTTGAGACCTAATCAGTCTCCTAAAAATACAGTTTTGAAAATAATTTATATCTTCCAAAAAAACAATGACATATATTTGAAGTTTTTGTGGGTGAAAGATAGCCTATTGCTTTGTAATTTGCTAGGTTCGCACGTAGTTATGACATTTGAATAAACTACAAATACCAAAAAAAATTAGATATCGATTGTATCTCGTACCGCAACCGAAGATAGTTCAATATGTGTAGTAAGTAGTGATGGGAATAAAATAATATGTCAGTTATCGATTCAAAAAGTTTTATTGATTATGCAAAGTGTTTTTCATTAAAACATGGTAAGCACATTGATTGCTTGCATTGCGCGCAAATAGTAACAATTCGTTTAGTTTTTTTAGAAGCGTCAATGCTGTTTAATGTGCGCCGTAATTTTTCGTAACAACCCACACAACGTCTTTTTTTGGCGCCACGTTGGAAAATATGATCAGTACATCTTCCTTTGGGGAGTTCTGTAATAAAATGCTTTATATAATAAACAGCAGGCAACTATGTCAGTGAAGTAAATGCTATGGAATCTAATTTTATCAGTTTTTCTAATAGTGAAAAGTTATTCGAGTGTCTTATGTATATTTTTGTTTTAGGCTGTTGTTGCTTTAAAAAAATATACGGTGGTATGAAATTAAAGCTGGATTTCACGGGTCTCTTGTAAGTTTACTATAGCAACGTTTTTTATAATAACCGAAATTAAGGCTACCAGAAAAGAACTTACCAGAGACATGTGAACCCCCTCCCCACCTCCCCCTGTGTAGTATAATGCTTACATAATAATAACACTCTAGCATTAGAGATAAGTAGCAAAGCCCACCAGAAATGCTACTAAGCTAAGACAATCTCGAAAAATAACAACCAAACATTTTTAGGCAAGCAACAGAAGAAGTACTAATGTACGCGTTTCAAACACAAAAAATAAAAACCACGTAAAGTCGAAAAAAGGCAGGCAGTTGTTAGTTCTAAATAAAGCCTCATTAATTTATGTTATTTGAATGGTATCCAAGAAGATTTTTGTACAGTAAACTCGAATGATTAAAGTGCATAACATGCTCAGTTTCATGCAAAGCCTGCTGCAGATAGTTGACGATGCTAAGCTTACC